CTATCAGACTAGAACGAAAAATTTGTGCATGCCTATATGGGTGTTTTTAATATTTATTTAATAATATGGCTAGTCTCATCACTCCATCAACTTGTTTTTTATAAATAAAATAAAAAAATAAATCATTCTCTCTCTCTCTATTGATGAAAAAGTGAACTTCACAAAATAATCAATTATTTTAATTAACACTATTGGAACAGTCATGTACATGTTAAAGTGACAATACTATAAGAAATCAAATTGGACTCGTGTGAATATTGTACACACAAGTTTTTTACAATTTTGCTTTTGAAAACCTCCAAAAACTAGTTTTATTTTTTATTTTTATTCTTATTTTTTATTTTTTATTTTTTAATGCCACTTCAGCAGCCTCAAGAAAACGAATTGTATACAACCTGCCAAACATCAAACACTAATGTGACCTCCAAATTTTTGGACTCACAATTTTGAAAGAAAAAAAAAAAAAAAAAAGTGTCCATAAAAAATAGTGTAAAAAAACCAAAACAATTAATATAAAAATTCAATTGATTCTTTTTATTTTTTTACACATCTTTATAAACTATCAAAAAATCATTAAAAATATCAATTCTCAAACCAACCAGGACAGTTAAATGGGAAGTGATTGAGACCCCCTCCAATCACTACCCCACCACTCTACACACGTGGGGGTTGGTGATTGGAGGAGGAGAAAAAAAAAACTGACCAATCAGAGAAAGGAGGTTGTGGAGGTGCCCATTGTGGGGGTCCAAGTCATTTTCTCACTTCAATTTATTTCTTTTACATGAATTTGTAGATGGGTATAGCAAAAGCTCACATCAATAATTAATGGAAAGTCCCAAACTCTAATTAAAGAGACTTTGTAAAGGACAATTAAACATTTTTAATTTTTCATAACAATGCCTTTTGTTTGAGATGTGAATTGACTTTTTAATTTTTTTATATTTTTTGATTATTTTAGTTTGGGATTAAAAAGTCTTGTTTGAGATGAGTTTTTTAATTTTTTTTGACTTCTATGAAAAAAAATAAAATAATTATGATTTAAATATGATATTTTATTTTATAAATTTTTTATTTTATTTTATTTTTTTATCACTATTTTAATCCAAACTATTCACGCCAAACATAGCGAATATAATAAACAACAACTTGCAAGCTGTGGATGGAAATTCATTAATTGTGGGGCCATGCCAAGTTGACAACTATCCCCTGGTTTCCTTGTTTCCTCGCATCAATTATTGCATATATGTAAGGATATTCTTATGGCAATGTTCTGCTTTAGTAAAAAAAATTAAAAAGTTATTATAAGTTATTATATTATTTTTTTTATATTTTTATATATATATATATATATATATATATATTTTTTATAAAAAGTTAAAAAGTTATTAAAATTGTATGTTCTTAAATGAGAATTAAGTCTACCTATTAGGATTTACATGTAAATTTTCATTTTTTTTTCTCATTTTGATTAGTTTAGATAATAAAATTTATTAGTCGGTAGTTCCTATACTTCAGTTATTGTGTTATTTTGGTTCTTATAATTTTAATTTGTTCCATTTTGATCATAAATTTATAATTTTATTTCAATTTGGTCCAATTGATTATAAATGTTAATATATATATTTTTTAATGAAAAATACACACATAGGTGGTATGTCTTATACTTTAGGGGATAAAATTATAAATTTGCTCAATTCAACGAGTTAATTTTAACCACTTTAGTAATAACTTTTTGTCAAAAATTCTGACATTGTTATTAATTAAACTAAATTAATACAAAATTTAAAATTAAAGATTAAAATTGAATCGATTGAAAATAAAAAAAAAATATTAAAATAACACAAGAAAAATGTAGAGATTATTAAGTAATTTAGGGACTGTTTGGGAAGTGAGTTTGGTGGTTTTTTCAGTTAAAAAAGCTAAAATAATCAATAAAATAAAAATATCACATTTAAATCATAATTATTTTACTTTTTTTTTTCTCATAACCATCAAATTAATTATAAAAAAAACAAATAACTTTCTAAATACAACTTGTTTAATCAAGTTAAAAAAATTAAAATAACTAACTTCTCAAACGGACTCTTACCCAAATTAAAATTGTATTTGAGAACTGTGTATACTAATTGATACATGTATTTGTGATTTGTGAAGGGTGATCATGATATCGTCATGCAATATCTTATCGCAATTAATTATTTTTTCCTTTTGTTTACCTAGTCAAGCCCTAATTCCTTTTGTCACCCCAAATGTTCAAGTATTTAAGTTTTGGGTTTAGTTTAATGTTACCGTGGAGACCACATAGGTGATAGATACCTTCAATGATACATAGGCTTGAATAATGGTACAACCATGTGGGTCACGTCACACACACTAGTATTTCTTATTTTAGTAAAAGCATGCACAAAAAAATATTTATAAAATTATTGTATTATTCAGATTTATATAAGCTCATATTTAAAGTGAATCGTCATACAATAATTTTTCTTTAATTTTGCTTTGAACATTATTGTACACGAATTTTGTGTACCTAATACTGTTCTTCTTATTTAATCCCACGTGAGAATGGGACTGGAAAAATTGCAATTTAGCAACAGTCCACTTGAGACTTTCGCTCTATATTTAATCCCACGTGATAATATTATCCGATACAATAATTATACCAACTTAAAAATAATATATTCATATGTTGAAATTTTTAAAAATAAAATTATCAATCAAAAGATCTCATTAAGTAATTTTTAAAAAATTGTCACAAAAATATATTATTTTTAAGTTATTGATTTTCATGCTAGACAAATAATTTGGGATGGAAGTAGATATGTCTTGAGAGATTGTATAATGTGCAACCTCTAATTATGGTATGAAATTTTATATATTTTTGCAAATTTCAGAGTATAAATTATAAAATATTATAATTTTTTCATCACGTAATGTCATAATAAAAATTATAAAGGTTCATGATTTTACTATTTATAATCTTAGGATATATCATAAATTTACTATTCGTAACTTTAGATTGTTTTGGGTATAACTTATTTTTAATTTTTTTTATTTATTATAAAAAGACATGTAAAAAAGTAATGTGATAAAAATAAGCCAATAAACAACTTATATGAAATGCCCCTAAAAGTAGCTTTTATTACAAAATAAACTAACACACTACAAATAGTTATAATTTCAAAAATGTTTTAGACCACTAATTAGTGATGGCTCTAATGATGTGGCAATTGGTCCCACCCACTGCCACATGTGTTTTGTGTCTTGTTTTTTTTTTTTTCTTTTTTTTTTCAATTGCCACCTCACTAGTGGTGGTATTAGTGATGGTAAATTAGTGGTCTATAGCATTGCTCTAATAATTTTCATCACAAAATCATAACTTTCTTATTTTAACTTTTTTTGGAGGCTTTTTTTGGAGTCCGGATTGTAGATTTACACACACACACATATATATATATAATGTTTATTAAAATATGTATTCAATGAATAAGTACAAATAATTAGTAATAATATATTAGGTTTTTATTTAAGTTCTAACTATTGCTTGTATAAAATAACATGAAAAAAAGTTAAGGTAGCATTTGGTTTTATTTTGAAATCATGGTTCCAATAAAAAAAATTTAAATTTTTTTTTGAAACTTATAACTTAACAAAGTTTTCAAAACTCAATTCAAAAATTATTTTCAACACTCTATTTTTTTAAAAAATATATATTTTTTATTTTGTTCTTTAAAATTATTTTTTATTTTTTTGAAAAATATGGGCGATTAAAAAAAATTTAAATTAAAAAAATAAAAATTTTAAAAATTTTAAAAAATAAAATAAAATATTTCAAATAAAAAATTAAATATATTTAAAATAAAAAAATTAAATTAAATATTTTAAAAATATTTTCAAAAAAATACAACGTACAAATGTAGTAAATATAGCGCACATTAAAATAAATAAATATTTACAATAAAAAATATTTCCCCTAAAAAAATAAAAGTATTACATTAATTAAATATTAAAAAATAAATCCAAAACAATTTTAAAATGCAATTCAAAATTTAAAACTCTTTTTAATACTTATAACTAAACAAGTTTTCTCTTTTTAAAATTTATTTCAAAAACTAATTTTCAAAACATAACTCAAAACTCAAATCATAATTTAAAAACTAATTTTCAATACATATTTTATATAATTATATACATTTTTACATATAACGTTAACCATAATTCAGTTGGTTAACACTTTTTTTAGTTATAATTTATAAATACTATTTTAAAATAATAAATAAATAAATAAAAATTGAGGACTTTTAAGGGGCAAAGCGTAAGGCTCCGTTTGGTTTACTTCTTGAAAAGAGGTTTGAATTTTGAGTTGTATTTTAAAAGATAAGTTGTTTAAAGAGTTTTGAAAATTAAAAAATTATTTAGTTATGAATTTTAAAAATAATTTTAAGATGATTTGTATTTTTTTTTTTGGTAATTGAATAAATGGAGAAGAGAGAAAATTTGATTGATTAATATGTAAAATGTAAAAGAATGAGATATGAAAAAAGAAAGAAAAAAATAATCAATTGATTTATTAATAAATAAAAAGAAAAAAGAAAAAAAAATAATTTAAAAAATTTATTAACCAAACATATTTATTTAATTTTTTAATTCAAATATTAATTTAAAAACTAAATCAATCACTACCCAACGTTTTCCTTTTTTTAATATTTTCCAGTATGATTATAAAACTGGCGATTAAATTCGGACAAATATCCACGATCTCATCGGCGATTCTAACTCCGACCTCGTCCCTATTAACTCACGAGCTAAAGTTGTTTCCACGTGTCAATTTCTACTCCATTGCAGTACAGTACAAGCTCCTGGTACCACCGACAGGTGTGTTGTGACTTAAAATGCTCGCGCACGTGGTAAGTTACCGGACCAGCCAGTGAACACAACCTGTTGTATCGGTAACCTGTACTCATCTACATTTAATATTTTAATATTATTTTTAAAAATACTAAAACACGTTCACACGAAACAAATGACTCTCTCTCTCTCTCCTCTTTGCTGCAGTTAGAAGCATTCTCGCAGATGAGAGTTTTGCATTTTCTCTCTCTACTTTCTCTCTCTAGCTACTAGTCTGCCAAAACGGTTTGTGGGGGAGAATTTGGCTTTAGGGTTTGGTGGTTGCAGTAGCAGAGAGCTGCTACTCTGTTTTTTATCTGCAGAATTTGAGTGCTTTGACTTGGATTTAGAGTTGGGTTTGGTTCTAATTTTGCTGGTTGAAATCTGAAATGGAGAGAGACTTCTTGGGTTTGAATTCTAAAGATTCTGTAGTTGTTGTGAAGGAAGAGGCTGTTGAAGGATGTAAAGACTCAGGTACTTGTAGACATAAAAACATATGTTTTTTGTGCCTAAATATCATTGATTTGTATTTCTCAGTGGCTAAGAATTCAGTTTTCTTTGAACTTAGTGTTAATGTAAATTTGGGTTATGATTGAATTTCACTTTTCATGGCATAACAGTGAGTTGTTGCAAATTATTGTTATTATTTTGCATATTCTCTGTATAAATTTTGCTTGATGTGTTGTATCTTGTGCCAGAGTTGTGGACTGAGTATTCTTTAAATTTAAAGCATGTGCTCTTCTAAGTTAGTTTAGACTTGCTGTGTTTGTTGAGGGTGAGGCCAATTTATGGTAGGAAAATAAAATTGAACAAATAAATGGGGTATTATAAATCAATATTCTAATTAACAAGTGTTTCTACAGAAAATTTATACAGCTAATTATGATTTCTTCAATTTTTGCTCTTTATATTTTGGATGTCCATTCAAGTTCTGGATTTCAAAATTCATGAGAGATGTAAAGAAAGATTAAGAATTCTCCATATTCAACTTAATGGGATCTTTCATTCACTTATTCTTTTGTTCTTTTTATGGCCAATAATGATTTATTGAACTCTTCGGGCCTCAGATTAAGGGGTTGGACTGGTGGATGAAGCCTTTCCCCTTACCACGCATCTGAGTCTCACTCTTGCATGTTGCAGCTTCCCCTTCCCATATTTCCCCTCCTACCAATTGAAACAGAAAAGAAAATCAAACTTTTTGAATCCCAAATTTGAGTATTCTCCCTTTCATGCAATCCATGTAGTTCAACAAGCAACTGGTGTTTCAAAGTCGAGGACTATGAAGCAACGACACTTGAAAATGAGTGCGTGTCTGTGTCGTACATGTATGGGACAGCTACATGCCGGGGACACACATGTCCACGCATCGTATCAATTTTTTGAGTTACTTTTTTTTTTTTTTTTTTTTTGTGCAGAACAATTTGAGGACTACTCGACAGACATGCTTGCCCTGTATTTGGACACCTCTCAAGACATCTTTGTGAATTATTATTATTTGTTTATTTTTTGTAACTTTAGAAAATTGATTTGGGTCCAAAGTAAAATATATAAAAACAAAGAGAGACGAAAGTGGGAAAAAAAAACAGCCACATATCTATTGATTTCTCTTATATATATGTGTCCTAAATTAATATTTATATACATAGTAAATAAAAATATAAAAAATATTTTTTTTTCCATCTTCCTGCCACCTTCATATCCTAAAATTTGCAAAATCGTTGTGTTCGTATCCGTGCCTGTGCTTCTTAGGTTGAAGATGTGTCACCCTTTGACATAGCTGTCCATACATTGTAATCTGTAGTGAGTAGATTTTCATTCGGGTTAAAGTAAAGTAACAATATATGAGGGTGACTGTTATTAGGTGTTTACCTTTCCGTGAAATTCTACTCGACATTCACCCAAAAAGGGGGGAATAAAGAAGAATGGATGGATGCTTAATCTGTAATTTTTTTTGATATGCATGGTTGGAAAACTAATCAGAGTAAAATGAGAAAAACATGCTATCAAGTAAACATTAGATATATGATTTCACACATTATTGCCAGTCATTAAAACCTTCTTGTTTCTGTGTTCATAACATGTTTCTTAAATGCAATGGGTATTTATTATCCTCTTATGTTTTCTACAATATTTTGTGCTCAAAAGGATGACCTTAATTGGTTTTTCCATGACTCTAGCCACAGAGTTCCTGGCAAAATGAGTCTGTTTTCTGTGGCAGTTGCTAGAAACTGACACTAAAGGCTACTAGATTTTAGAAACATGCATATTTCGTTAGAAAAATTTATGGAATATTCAAAATATTAGGAATATTGTGAGTATGCGATTTGTAATTTACTAGGAGAAAACTTAGCATGTCCAATTGGTTGAAGTCATAATTTATATTCCGTAATAGTGCTATTCCTAAGTTGTGTGGGTGCATGATCAAGTAATTTTTTCTGTGTCTACTGAATAAAATCACCTAGAAAAAATGCCTACGAGTTCTATTTTTTTGTGGCTTAAATGTTCTGAAACATATGAAGTTGTGTCATTATTTCTTGTTTCATAATGTTTTGAAAATATTTGATTTTTGAAGTGTCATTCTGAAATTGTTGATCGAATTCGACTATTGTGATATTGTATTGGCTTTCGTTTTTATTGATGATTCAGTTTTAAACTAAAAGCATGTATTGAACCTAACTGAGCATTGTTGTTCACCTTTGTGGATTTTGTAGCATTTTCAAAGGGTTCAGGAGTTCAGTGGCCCTTGTCAAACAAGGTTTCGGCCCTTCCTCATTTCATGTCCTTTAAGGTTGCTCAAGATGAAATGAAGCCAAAGGTGATGTCTGACCCACTTGCTGCTTCTGGATTCATGTCTATATCAACTGCAGATGCATTTGACACCACTCGCAAACACCGCTCTGGTGAAACCCAGGTTTTACTCGTTCCTTCGTTTGAATAAACATATAATTGCATTTTTAGGGGTTTTGGATGCAACATATTGGAATTGAACTATTCCAGTTTTTTTGAAATTTTTGATGAGTCTGTCCTGTTTATATAGCATTTATACAATCATAGATTGGATTTTTTGAGAAATTTGTGGAAAATGAGTTCATTTAGATTCCCTTTAGCAAATCTGTGATCTACTGAGAATTAGTTTATGTTTTTAGATGCTAAGATATTTCCAGTATTTTTACTTAATGAATATAAAAAAGTCTCCAGTGGTTTCTAAACGATCATCCCCATTAGTTAGTTTATCAACAAATGTCCGATCTCTGTCTTTAGTGAACTTCAAAAGCATGAACGCTTCTAAGAAGTAGCGTGTCTGAATTGGATGTGTGCCAGATATCAACACTCGTTGGACACTCCCAAACACGTGTAGGACATATGTTCAAATGTGTCCTATTAATATATTTTTTAAAAAAATTTCAGAACTCGATACTCTTTGGACACTCAGGGGATCCATTGCTTTGACACGCATGAGATGCATCCAAAATTTGAAGAAAAATACTTGGGATTTAATTATAAATTAAAACAATGCAGATTTATAGCTTTTAATCCCTTTTCCTTTAGGCTTTTTGATTTTAGTAATTTTAATGCCGGAAACTTCCAATTTGTTAGTGAACCAAGCTCTCTAAATATTAGGATTTTTTCACAAATTTTTTTTCAAATATACATATTTGGAAAACGATCTCATATTAATTTTTCATGAGAAAATATAAATAAGAAGAAAATATTTATTTTTTGTCATATGGTTGTGCCCCTGCCATGATATGTCCTGATTTTTGTGAAAATTGCCGTGTTGGTGTGTCCATATCGTATCGTATCCGGCATGTCCGTATCCGTGTTGCTTAGAATGACCTGATAGTTTTGATTGATTTCTTGAATGGTTTTTACTATTTAGAAAGTTCATGATGGACAAGGTGGCGTTCATTTTTCAATGACAAATTATCCTGTGCAACACAATGCGCTTCCGATGCATTTTTCTCATGATGTTAAGATGCTTCCAGCTGCAAATTCCATGAGCAACCCTTTCTTCAAAACCCATTTTTCTGGTGCTGCTCAGAACTTTGCAGGTGCAACTATGAAGCAACAATTACTTGGCGGGATCCCTGTTACGGCACCACATCCAATGATTTCTTCTCTTGCTTCTGTTGCAGGAACCACTGAACCATGGTACCGAATTGTTATATGCTTTACTTTATTTAATCATTTCTTGAATTTGTTGACAAATATAAAATTGTAACAATTACGAGCAAGAAAAGTAACAAAAGAAAGCATGACCAAAAATGATGAAAATGAATAAATAAACTAAAAACTTAGCTTGAATGGTATGCGTAGGTTAAATTCCAAGTCCTCTGAGGCTCCTCCTCAATTGACCATCTTCTATGCGGGAACAGTGAATGTGTATAATGATATCTCTCCTGAGAAGGTTCTCTCTCTCTCTCTCACACACACACACTCACACACAAAGAACAACTCATCTTGGCTACTGCTTCCTTTGTCCTTCCAAATTGTTGGTCTATTTTCACTATTCCAGACATCCCAAAAATTCTACGATTTTGAAAACTATCTGCAAGAACTAATTGAGTATATTTTAATTTGTGAAAAAAATACTTGACTTTTTTTTCTCTCAAAAATAACATTGTTTATTGACGCAATTAAAGGGCATGAATACCGAAAATGGACCAACAATTTGGGATGGAAGGAGTAGTTATAATTCTTCCCTCATAATCATGGTCAGGTGAGTTTTTAACATTTATTCTGTTGGGGGCATCTAACCCAGGCTCAGGCTATTATGTTCTTGGCTGGAAATGGGGCTTCTAACAAGGCACAACCAAGAGCTCAGGTTCAGGTCCCTACCTCCAAGCAGACTGGGGGAGATGGTGTTCTTGGCAATCAGCCCACTATTAATACTCCACCCAACTCTGGCCTTTCCAGCCCTATCTCTGTTTCTTCACATCCAGTTGGTCAGTCTGGTAACGGGCTTACTGCCAATGGTGAAATGATGGCAGCCAAACCAAATGGGGTTTCAACCACTCCGCTTAGCAAAATTGACCCTCCGAAGATTGGACCTCTTGCTGCAAATACCATGATACCATCAGGTATGGCACTCTGACGAATGGTGCTCATCAGCCCACTAATAATACTCCACCTAACTCTGGCCTTTCCAGCCCTATCTCTGTTTCTTCACATCCAGTTGGTCAGTCTGGTAATGGGCTTACTGCCAATGGTGAAATGATGGCAGCCAAACCAAATGGGGTTTCAACCACTCCGCTTAGCAAAATTGACCCTCCAAAGATTGGACCTCTTGCTGCAAATACCATGATACCATCAGGTATGACACTCTGACGAATGGTGCTCTGATCCTTTTGTGTTTGTGGCTAAAACATGTGAAGTTAAGTAACTTCTGATTAGATTCAAGTCTTGTATGAACTTCACACAAGTTCAATGAATATCGGGATAAATGGTTGCTAGATATTATCCTTACATTGGATGGTTTGTTGTTGTGATGATGATCCTTATCTTGTTGCATGCAATTTTTATTTTCTATTAACTTTGCCTGACTCTTGTGGTAGCTATTGAAAGCATTTTCTGAACCTCTCTCTCTCTCGCGCGTGTGTGTGTATATTATGCACACATCTTTTGCCTCTGGTGCCACTTTTCCTGTGTCTGCCATAATGAGTTTGCAGTGTTGCCAATAGGGAAATCTAAAGATAGAGTTACGTCTGGAAACAATATTGGCTTCCATTTTTACATCACGTCATCCATTTTGTACTGAGAATAATTCTTCCTTTCTCCTTCCTTTTGGTTCTCTTTTTTTTAACAGTTCTTTTTATGGATTTTTACAAAAATTTCTCTTTTTATTTCCTTTTATCATTCTATAATTTATATGAATACAAATTTTTACGACCCTGTAACAATCTCATCCCACATCAGAAGTTTGCATGGTTGATTTTGGGCATATAAGTAGGAGCAATTAACCCAAATGACATTTCCTTGACTAGCACTTTCGGGCAAGTTCCTTGATTATATATGGTATCAAAGCCAACTTGTGACATTAGAAGTTTGCATGAGTGATCTTGGGTATATAAGTAGGAGAAATGAACCCAAATGATATCCCCTCGGTCTAGCCCTTTTGAGTGAGTTGGGTGGATTTTTAGGGGACACAATTTCTAGATGTAAACAATATTAACTTCCATTTGTACATTAAGCAACTAATCCTATTTGGTTTTCTGAACTTTTGTTATGAAGATAGCATAGCCAATTTTGATATTCCTTTTTAAGGGAAAAGACTGCATAGTCCAGCCCCCTCTCGTCCTCCTAAAGTCCAAGTTTCCCCTGTGATTTGCAGTGATCATTTATCAGATTTATAACTGTCACAACTGCCATGTAAATTGATGTTCAATTTCCTTATGCAGCCATTCCACAGTCCCGCAAAGCATCCTTGGCTCGTTTCCTTGAGAAGCGCAAAGAAAGGTAGGCTGTTAAACCTTACACCAATGATTGCTTATGGATTCAATAGTTGGAGATTGAGATATAATGTATTTTTGTGTTCAGTGTATATGTGTATTGCACACTCAACTGCACCTTAGTATTTTCTTCTTTTGGCAAAGGGTTTCATCTTCTTCTTCTTCTTCTTCTTCTTCTTCCTTTGGTTTGTTTTGACCTTAGTAGTAGGGACCTCCTACTTGGGTGACTTTTCTTACTGTAAAATTCAATTAGGCGCTCTCAAGTAAGAAACTTGTATGAACCTCGCTTCTGTTGAGGAAGAAACTCGCTCCCAACTGATATAAAACCTCTCAAACATACAAATGTTACACAAACAAAAGAGAAACAACTCAAATTTATTATATTAGTTTCTATTTACATAATATTTATTTATATTTAACAATGAAAATTTGTAGTTGACATCGATCTTTAATATTTATTCATATTCTAACACATTAAGTAGAAAAAAGAATTATTAGAATATATTTATATGTTTAATATATAAAATATATACACGTTCCCATAGATGCTCCCGCTTCTGCTCCCATCCTGCCCCCACTCCTTCATGCAACTAAGATTTTGACTGCCCTAGAGGGTCTATCAATTGACAAGAATTTTTAATTATATTTATGAGAAATAGCTTCCTCACATTTCAGTTGTAGCTTGTCATAATCAATGATCGGCTAAACTGCTTTTCATGATGAGGTTTATGTTAACTTATGCAGGGCACTGAACTCAGCACCCTACAACGTCAGCGTCAAATCTCCCGAGTGTGCCACTCCAGGATCCACCTAAGTTTTTGTGCAGGCGGTGCCGGTCCTCGTCATGATGTCAGAGGGCCAATTATCAATTTATGTAGTAAGATGTAGTAGATGTAACTGAAATGGGTTTTGTTGTCCTACTTTATTATCTTTTATGATCCCAACTTGTTAGACCTTCAATCTTAACTAAGTTTGTTTTTATATGAAGTTGTTCACTAGTGTGTTAATTCATTGGTCTCTTTTCTGAATATGTAGTCAGGTTGTATTCAAACATTTTAATACACTGTAATATTAGGGAATGTATGTGTAATTCAGAACAAGCTTGCTCTTACTCTTCTTCTTCTTGTTCATCTTTGTTTATCCATTTGAAGCTTGTTTTCGAAACAGCTTTGAATATTGAGATATATCTTAGTTAGTTCAGATCAAATAATGCTGGTTTGTTGTCCATGTTCGACAATTTTAGAGCATTTTATATTTGACCAACAAATGAAATTATGAGTTCAAAAAAAAAAAAAAAAACAAATGAAATTATGCAATATCACCATGTCCCTGTCTAAAAATGTTAGGTTAGTTTTCATGGTGGTAGTCATTATCTATAATATATATATGATTTGTTTTAATACACCAATCAAATAAGCGTATTGTCATTTTTTTTAATGGAATCTCATTTTTTTAATACAGAAATGAGTTGAACCTCTCCAGTGGAGGTGACCCTTAGCATCACCACTGTTTTTTTGATTGGTTCAAAAAAATTTATTTTATTTTATTTTATTTTCTGTCTTGCTCTCACAATCTCCACGTGGAGGTGGGAGTGCTAGGGTTCACCCCCATTGGGGGTCCCAGCATTGTTGTTTTTAATATCCAAAGTAAGTTATTGGGTGTCCTTCATCATACATTAAATAATAATAATTTTTTGTTGTTTATTATTTGTTTAGTTGATAATAATTTTCAAGAAGTGTCAAAGTGTAAAATGAAGCCTTTTTTTTTAAGGATCAACAAAAATTGTAAATCACTTTTGCTTAAGGCTCGTTGCATAAAATTTAAAGTCAAATTTCAATGAAGAGCAATTACATATGAGTTGTATGATTTGGGGTACAAAATGTATACCTCTTATATAGTCATGTTTGTTTGAACGAAGTAGCTTAGATGGGATTAATATTCTTCGAGTGATTGAATTTTATTAGCCTTCTTCATAGTCTTAAGTCAATTTAAATATAGGATTATGATGAGAGACTAATAAAATCCTATCAGTTTTATAATTTAATTAATTAGTTCGAACATTATGAAATGTCTTCCATTTGTATACCACCTCCCTATTGGGGATTTAATTCTTAATTATTAATTTTTTTCTATTATCTATTCTTTCTCATGTTTGGATTGACTTAAGGTTATGGGACTACTAATAAATTTCTATCAATTTTACAATTTAATCCGAATCTTTCATTAATCTTCCATTTGTATACCACCTCCGTGTTGGGAGATTCAATAATTCCACATATAAGAGATGCCATATCCGAATAAATTATTAGTCTAAACTTTAATGTTTTTAAACCAAATTATATATTTTATATTCCAAAATGATATCCATCAAACAAAGTTGTCCATAACTTCCATGTGCAATGCCCTTGAAAAAGATATAAGAAGAATTTTTTTGAGTGGCTGTCCTTTCAGAGAGGATATTTGGGGGAGTATTATCTTCACGAAGGGTTTCATTTTCCTTCATTTTTCTCTCATGTCATTTGGTGTTCATGTACTCCTCACATGAGAATAAAATGAGGGACTATAAATTTTTAAAAATAAGACACTATAAATTATTTTTATCTCATAAGGAATAAATAAAAGTCACACTCAATATTTTGACACAAAATTTTAATTTTTTTTTAAATACAAAAAGTAATTTCATAAAATGTACCAAACACTTCCAATGTACTTGTTTGACTCCTTATGCTGTGGGATTTGATTGATAATTCTATGATTCCATGAAAAAATATACGTTTAGTTTGATAAATGTCATTCGAATAAGAGTCATATATGGGAATATGAATACAGTGAAGGATGGGATTAACATTGTCATGAGAGGAAAGTGAGATTGTTAATCCAATCTCATGAGATTAGATATTTGAAAAAAAAAAAAAAAATTATTCACTAAATTATGAATTATTTTGATCTTATGCCCGTTGTTCACCCATTCTCATTGAGGTTTCATTACTTACCTTGGGTAGTGACTACTTCAATGAAAAAAATAAAAAAAATCACTCGGTTTGGTTTTGATTTTTAAAATTTACTTTTCAATTTTTTTTTGTTGTTCGTTTTTTTTTTGTTTTTATTAAATTTTTAAAAATATTTTAAGCATTTTTTTTTAATCTTTAGACACACCTAACATAAATATACTTTAAAAGTATAATGTAAGTGAATTTTTTTTATAAAAATTATGTATATTTTTTTATATTTTTGTGTATTTACTAATTTTTAAAATATTTTTTCATAAATAAATATTTTATTTTTTAGATATATCTAAGTAAGGTGCATCTAAAAAAGTATAAAATTTATTTAAAATTTTAAAAATATTCATTAAAAATTTAAAAAAAAATTTGAAACATAAAAAAATTAAGGGTTGGTTTGGCATAGACTATATAATCCATCTTTTTATCTTTTTTCCATCACATCACCTCTCTACTTTTCTGCACATCTTTTCGTAAAAAGACAAAAAATATACTTTTTTAGGACATCCCAAATCAACCCTTAAAACTAAACGCACCGAAGAATATGCAATTGAAAAGAAAAGAAAAAAATGATTTTTTTTTTTTTTTAAGAGAAAATGTAGTGGTTGATACACTTTTGGTAGTACCCTCGGTCACGTATAGCATGATAGCTTTATTGTTGGTTTTTGGATGGATGGCCCCCAAATGTTTGTGAATGGACAATTTGACATTAACCACGTGAGATGTGTGTTTTTTGTCAAATGTATGAACCAATCAGCAAAAGGCTTCTGTTTTTTTGGGTCACATTTTTGTGTGTTTTTGTTGTCATAGATTGAGATGGGTTTGGATTGGATTGGACAGTACACCAAACGGGTCCCACTTTCTTTTTCATTTGGTTTGTCCTAGATATTACCCCTAGATTTTTGCATTATTTGGGGGAAAAAAAAGAATCCAGACTTAGCCATATGTGGTCATGTTCAAGTAAGACCCACCCCTGCTCAAAAATAAAAGAGAAAAAAAAAAAAACGAAGAGAAAAACAGATAAATGTTGGAGGAAAAATTATTCATAAATTCTATATGGAGAAAAGTTAAATCATTTAATTTTGAAAGTTTTTTTTGTAAATCAAATAATCCTATTTTTTAGGTACGTTTTATTTAGGTGGTTTTGATTCTATTTTGGATGGGATAAGGCAACGTTATCATGTGGATTCTGTCTTGACTGTTTAACATTGATCTACAAATCTCATTTCCAATACACATCACCATAAGCTAATATATGTTGGAAATAGTTAAGAAATTCTGGGTTAATAACAGAATTTTTTTCTAAGTTTGGTTTATTTTTTAGATGGGTTCCGTGCGTTGATTTTCACGGGTCAAAATGATAACGCGTTCTATGCCGCGTTATGATTCACGTGGTATATTTGGTTACTCAAAACCATTACCGAATGAATAGGAAATTGAAGCAAAAATATACTCCATGAAAATGGAGTTTTGGTAAAAAATCCTTAAAGGTTTGAATAAGACTTGTCCCACATTGATTTGGTGGGAAGTTTTGAATGGGTTTATAAGGCATGAGATTAGAACTTGAGGTGTGCTCCAAGGGGTGGGTACCAAAGTGTTTTAGAGAGGGAGGTTATGAGCAAAATGGGTTAGACCCATTGGACCCAAAAATACCACACGCGAGTTGTCGGTCGGACAGATTGGGCTTGTTCGGCCCAATACCTATCTTTTTGGGCAAAAAATATTTGAATTTTATTTTATTTTTTGGTAAAATAAAATCCAGAATTCAAATTAATTTCGAAAATAAACTGGTCCGGTTTTACTGTACACCCAAACAAAGCCCTTTCCGTTTTTTATCTGTTTGAATTTTGAACCCAACAGATTCAAATCTGTTTAAATTCAAAACCAAACAGGTTTCATACCTGTTCAAACAGGTTTGCACATGTTTAATTCAAAACCTACAGCCACCAATCCATCTATAAATAGGACAACCCTCATTTGGATTTTGGAACTCTAATTTTCGTCCTTCATAATTCTGCAAACATTCTCTTCATTTTGCTGTATTATTTTCTTGTAAGAAAGAGTATAAACGCTTAGTGTGTTCGTTAGGCAAATAATTTGTAGTGCTGCTATTGTTTGTAGCTGATCATTTCATCCTGGGAGATAGACGTCCATATTCTGAAAGTACCAAGAAGATGACGAATCTGTCTTAAGGACACAGTGTCAAACACTGGACTTCATCAGATATTTATTAGAAGAAATTAATCAAATAAGTTGTTTAATTTATTATTCTGTTTTATTTGTTTATTAAATCAAATTTTATTTTTATTTTTGTAACAAAATGAATCTGTTTTTATTTATTTATTTATTTCTAGTTTGATTTTTGTAATCAAACAAATTCTCTCATTTCCTTTATTTCTTTATATTCTTGTTGTTGTTTAGTACACAACAGAATTTAATCTATTTAAATATAGTGAAGATTGTCCAACAATATACACAAAAACAAAAAATAGGAACCATCCCCTTGTCCCCCACACCCAATATGACAGAACACCAGGCACCTAATCACAATCACAAAATACCAACACCATTACAGTTAATGTAAACACCAAAAAAAAAAAACCTATGGACCATTATCATAACAAGATAACATACACCGACAACAAAACAGAAGAACCCAAAATATCATAACCACCACAGTTAACGCAAACACATCAAAGCAAACACATTGGGTGAAAAAAAGATCTAGAATCCAACCCACGAATTGCCAATAACATTAACAAACTCACAACCGGAATCCGCATTTCACAACCATTACCCTTTACTCAACTCACAACAAAACCCACCATATCATAAACGTCCATCAACACTACACTAGAATATTGACATTTTTACTTACCCAAAAAAAATATTGACATTTTCGAGATGTTAACAAAATATAACACATGTCAAACTACTTTCACAACTCAATCTGAGCAACACAAAGGAAATCAAGGGTACACATAAACAAACGAACAACTTACCTGACGCCATTTGTTAACAACACAATCACCGACGACGACGAATGGAGGTTGTTTACTCAGCGCACGAACACACAATGTCGTAACGGCCTCTACAACTCGTCGACGTAAACGTATTGCCAAAAAGTGGTCGTAAACGTATTGCCAAAAAGTGGTTTCGTATTTTCTAGGGTTTCGTAGGAAAATGAATTGTTAATTTAGGTTACTACTCCACATTGATTCAACGTTGCATATTACAGATGGATCACAAACATACCAAACAGTATCCCATTTACATCGGAACACCCACAAATTTCCATTTACGTCTCTTCTGTTTCGATCGGTTTGGAGGGAAACCAAAAATCCCTACAATAAGGTTTGGGGCAAAGACATAAATTCCACTTCGCAAAAACCAACATGTACCCTTGCTCTACACGATAAAACATGGACTAATTGGTCATTAACACTAGAATGAGACTTATTGGTTCATAAGATAAAAGTTGAGAATAAATGGATCAAAAGATTGAAATTTGAGATTTATTGGTGCATCTCCCTAATTTTTAAGAAAAAAATTTAAAAATTTATTTGATTAAAAATTTTTGAAAATAAAAATTTTAAAATCACTTTTCATTCTGTTAAACATCAATCAATCACTTTTTTTTCTCTTTTTTTTTCTCACATCTCCTATACATCAATTAATTATTTTTTCTCTCGCCTATTTATTCAATTACACAAAAAAAAAAAAGAATTAAATCATTCCAACCTCCAAAATTTCAAACTTTTTTCAAACATACAACCAAATAAATTTTCAAATTTTATAAATTCTTTCCAGAAAATTATTTTTCAAAATTGTTTCACAAATACAAACCAAACATGACCGTAATATTCATAATTGTTTTTATTATTATTTTATATTATAATTCGATTTTCATGAAGAAATAAATAATATTGTTATATATTTCTACATGTAATATAAAACAATGAAAAAATATGTAATTACAATTATGACCCTCTCTAAAATTACTATTAAGGATTGTAATCCTAAAAATTCAAACCTAATTTCTATCAACAACTTGGCTAATGCATGGCTACTATCGCCTCTCTGTCACCCCTCTCCAACCTTTATCAGCCCCTATAAACACTATTCTCCAACCTTATCGCACCACCTCTCCATTATGCTTTCTCTTCATTCCTTCACTCGTGTAGCACTTTCTCCTATAACCCTCGCCAAATTTTCCATTTCTAGCCCTGCCTTTTCCTTTGTCACCACATTCCCTCCTCTAAACCACCTCATTCTCGTCGCCTCCCTACCTCTTCATTCTCATTCTTCTTCTTCTCTAAAAGTCCTAGATCCAAGGAGGAAGGTGTAACAAAAAAATGAGACAGGCTAGGGATTGTAGTTGTTGGTAATGAGGGTTGGGGATGAGAGTCAATGAGGTAGAAAAGAGCTTTAAAGTGAGGCTAAGGTAAGAGAGGGTCACGATAGTATGGGAGCCCATGTGAAATACTTTGAATCGATTTCAACTGTGTCTCTCTCTCTCTATGTGTGTGCGTATGTGTGTGAAATGCTCTCTGGCTAGGGCTGTAAATTTGGCCCGGCCCGAGCCATGTCTGGTCTTGCGGGCTCCCGCCAAATTCGAGCTTGGCCGGACCAGCCTATGAGCCAGAAAATTAGGCCCAGGCCCAAGCCTAAACCCAAGGGATATTCGGGCTTTGGGCGGACCAGTAAGCCTGGGCCTGGGCTTACTTGGACAAGCTTGAACAAATTTTTTTTGTTTTTCTATTTTTTCAACCAAAAATTTATTATTTTCCACTAAAAAAGACATTGGGCCTCGAACGGGCTAAGTCTCGAACTGGACCTGGGGTGGGCCTTATGTGGGCTAATGGGTCAGCCATGAGTCGAGCCGGGCTTCAAAATGATAGCCCAGGCCCGGGCTTAGGATCTTGGGCTGGGCTCAGGCCCAAACGGGCCTAAACAGGTTAAGCCCACTCCGAACCGCAAGCACACGGGCTTCAAGCCACTCACGGACCACGGCCATATTTACACTCCTATCTTTATCTCTGCATGCAAAGCCCCTACTTCCCCAACAAAGCTTTTCACGGTTAGTAGGCTTCATCGCTCATTTTCCTCTTCCTTATCCACCTCTCTTGCTAGCCGATAGCTCTCGCTCTCGCTCGCTCGCTCTCTCTCTCTCTCTCTCTCTCTCGTTTGGTTATGTGTCCGATTTTTAATGATCGAATAAGTGTTTTTCTATAATCAATTTGTGCTTTCTCGCTACCTTAATTGTTGCATCCCCTCTCTTGCTAATTTTCCTCGACTCAGAGTTGCCAAATACACTATAGACCATTATTTGATGTCGTTTTAACATGTTGATCCACGCTAAGCAATCCCTTGTAGTCCATTAAAAAATTATTTTTTCTTCTGTGAATGGGATTGCGACATTCCTAACTGATGGTAGTCATAACTAGTTTCCGATCTAAATTATTAATCTATTTTCGTTAAATAAAATTAATAAAAAAAATAAATATTTTAATCATTAAAATCAATGAAAAAAATATTTTAGATATTTTATATATATCTACAATGAGTTTAATAACTAAAATACTATTTGTTTTCATTGATTTTACTTAACAAAATAAACAAATGATTTAGATTAAAAATAAATTAAAATATTAAGATCTAAATTAAAAAATAATTTTGTTATATGACTCAAACTCTGAATTTTTTTATTTTTTTTAGAATTGTCCATTTTCTTTTCCAAAAAAAAAGAAAAGCGTCTTTCAGTTTTCCCTACCACCTAGTCATGGAAAAATAGATTCAAAGATTTCACTTCAATTATTTTTTCTGTTAACAATTGTTCAAAGAAACCAACCCAAATAAAAGAAAAATAATGACAAATGATATGTGCGAGAAATAACATAGAAATATCACTGTACCTTATTTTTCTGACTTCTTGATCAATATCTATCTGTACTAACTCATATAAGATATATTTGAACATGTCTCCTCAATTATCATGTCAAGTTTTCATTGCAATTTCATATACATCTTACATATATATATATATATATAAATTAACCCAGCAAATATAACATATCAAATTATTTATTATTATATTATATTTTCTTTTTAAAATTTTGCTGATTATGCTGGTAAATATTCCAATGGTCGACCAAATTTAAGGCCTGGCACCTAGGCAAAACCAGTTGTCTACACAAGAGAAATATATATGTATATACTAATTTCAAAAGACCCGTGTAAGACATGAGTTATTATTACAGTATGATTAAGTTTTATATTTTGAATTTTTTTTTAAAATTAAAATATTATTATATGAAATTGAATAGAATAAATCATTAAATATATGATAAAATTATATAGTATGAAATGTATCATTTTTGATTTGTTATACATTAAATGATGTAAACTCCAATTCTATTACCTAACATTTTGGATGAATAATGAGTCTTCAACATTTCTTCTGAATTTACAAAAAAAATTATGGTGTATGCTTTTTTCTCAACAAATAAATATACAACAAATACCAAGATAATTCTCTCATCTACAAAAAACTATTAAAATAATTCACTGAACTAGTAAAGAAACAAAAAAAATACATATATATACAAATGACTAATTTTATTAATATAAATCATACTCGCATAACAAATAATCAATTTTATTAATAAGTAAATCAACAATTTTTAATGATATGAAAAATATTTTTCAATTAACCATTTTGTTAATAAATAAAATCATTAAGTCAATTAACAATTTTTAATGATACAAAAAATATTTTTCAATAAACAATTTTGATACTTTACTATTGCATAGGAAAATAGTTTTTTTTTCTCCGCGTATTGTGTTAAATTAAAATTTATAACAAACAATAATTATAATTTTTAATATTATAGGACCAAATCATATTTTAAACAAACTTTTTGGGTGTATTTGTAATTTGTTAAAAAATAAAAGATTTATGTTTCATAACTGATCAAGAATGTATGCGTAATTACGAAAAAATCTATTTCATAATTAACCAAGAATGTTTGTGTAATTACGAAAAACTTATTACCTAATTGACCAAAAATGTTTGCGTAATTACGAAAAAAATCTTTACTCAACATATAGGCCACCATTAGTAGATTATTCAAAATAAAAGCACAAAATCAGAAAGAAAAAAAATACGAAACTCAAACAGTTAAGCGATTCTTATATATATATACATAAAATATAAAATAAATTAATTGTAAGATTGCTTACCGACTACCTCTTTCAAAGCAGCAGCCTTGTGCACTAGTTATATTGGATATAAATTGGTTGAAATGCGTATGGATTTGTAGTTCAGGTGCTAAGGATTTCTATGCTATGTAACGTGCAATATTATTATCTATACCCTATAAAAAAAAGTTAACAAGAAATTCTCTTATGCTGTGTTTGGCTGAGGGATTTGAGAAGGAATTTGGAAAGGAAAAAGAAAAAAATAGGTGAAATTTCACTTAGTTTCACACTCCTTTTCTCTTTTCCTTTCTAAATCTTCCAACCAAAGATAGCGTTAAAGAGTCATGATTGGTCTACAATCCCAAAAAAGCACAAGAAAATAGTTCACAACTTATTGATGCATTATGTGTCACATTACTCATTGCCATTACAATACAAATGCTATCAAATGCCTCTTCTAGACGGCAACGTTACCAATACATTGCAAGTTATGCGCTAGAAAGACAGATCGATAATGCTTAACTTGTAACTTAAAAACATTATTTAACAGAAAAACACGAGAAAAAGTTTGCATATATGTTATCTGTATGGACCATTCCTATTCATACCTTCATTCTCTATTCTGTTCTTATAAATCGGTAAACCCCATTTGCTATAAAGGATTTTGAACCAGCTTTGGGTGAGTAGCAGCATAGATGGAAGAATTGATATCGGTTTTTAGATGGGAAAGTAGATGCTGTACATCTGGACGTAAATTTTCCAATGCTCTTCCACAGAGTGCCAAAACTTCATACCTTGGTTTACTGTTAGCCTGCACAGGTCCTCCTTGCCCTTCATAATGGACAACATGATAGCTGTTGGGCATAAACAAATCAAACATATGTAAGAAAGGTCGTGTGGATGGTAAATGGATAAATTTGAAATTTTATGCGATAGGATTGGTTCAAAGACGAGAAGCAAGATCTTACAGGAAGTCAATGAGATCAGCTATATCCGATGCTTCAACAGGAGTTGATAGCTGTGAGTTCTTCCCGAACACATCGACCATTATATTTAAAAGCAATGACAGAGTCTGGAGGTCATTTTAAGAATATTACAACCATAACATATTCAAAAGATGTAATTAAGCAATCAATTTAAGATGTTAGGCCCACAAGATACCAAAACTTTTGGTGTTCTATGATTCACCAACGATCACGGTTCTTAGAATCTTACGATTCACAATTCAATTCGGTACGAGTTTTGACCAAAACAATTTCATACGTGTTGTTGGATCTTAAATTGTATGAATCTTATGACTCAATTGCGTTTAACTATGATTCTTTATGATTCACTACTATTTGCTACCATTCAATGCGATTCACTACAATTCAACTCTATTTGCATAACGCAAGAAACAATGTTATTTTACAAAATAAAAGAGAGATAAATTAATTATATTAGTGTACATGGATTTATATTATGATTTGGTTATATTGAAATTTATTTCATTTTAAACGTGTACTTTTACATCTACATACATATATAAAATTATATATTATGTTAAATAGAGTGAATTTTACAATTCACGATTCATTATTTTAGCAAACGATTCATGATTTGATTCATACTTTAACAACAATGCCTATGATTAATGACTTTTTCCCATTGTCTATTGAAAGGACTCCATTCCTATGGTGGTTTGGTCAATGAACGCATCTTGGGCCAGACTGACTAATCTAGCACTTAAGGCCTTGCCATTGTTGGGTGCTTCGCTTTAGCATAGAGGAGTTGGATCCAGGCTAAGAACTAAGGCTAGTTTTATATTAACACATTCAAATCATGGAGGATGGTCTAAACAAAGTCATCTTTATTTCATAGAGGATGTGAGCACTAGATCTCTGAACAAGACAAGAATATATGCACTTTAGCATGGTGAAAAACTATTGAGTCACTATAAGTTGTGAAGAGATTGTAAGAATTCTCTCACTGATGCTTGGAAATATTGGAGGTTAGTTACAACTACACCTATCAGTCTGACATAAGGCCTACCATTGCCTATGTAGCAAGTGTAATGAGGTTAAATCAGACTGGAAATAAAATTCGTTGTTGAATACCAGATACTGAAATTCAAAGAATTAAACTAGAAATGAATCAGTAATTTTATGACCTTATTGAAAAGAGCATGTGCATTGGCCAATCGCGGAAGCAACGGACCCATAATACGGAATACTATTCTCAACACTGCAACTGATGTAACCGGCCTGAGATGCTTTATGATAAGGTGTGTTCCATCTAGCCATTCTTGTGGAAGATTACTAAAGAAAGAGTGAAGCAGGGCCACAATGTTACCTAGCAAAAAATTGATCACATTACAGGATCGAGGGTCAATCAAAAAAACATAATGTAAGAAACAATTAATCCTTAAAACTTGAAATGGTTCATGGTGATGAATGTTTAGCTGATCAGTTTGAAAAGAACTAGACCATGGCTACCTCAAAGCACGTAAAACATTGTTTGTTAGTTTAGATAATACACTATGAACTGAAACAATTTGACTTTCATTATTACTCTGCTTCAATCCTAGAGAAGTTATAACTCACTGCTATATGTTTTAGCAAAAGGTTTGAGCTATAAATTGCATTCATGTGAGCAAAAGTTTATGATCAGGCAATTAAAAACTAATTAGTTGTCACAAGCACACAAAAAAAATGTTCTCGTACTGTGTTCTAATTTACTCAATTTGCCATTGAAAAGAAAATGACTTCGAGGCAGCTTCATTACCCCCGACAGTGAATGAAAGCAATAGATTTATATATTGCTTATACATACAGAAAAATAGCTAGACAGCACCCTCATCATTAGAGGATGAAAAGAAAAAAGCAAAATAAATATAGAGATAAAATATCAGCACCAAAGACAAGGTAAAATCAAGGTTGTTAAAATTGGGATCCTAGGTAGGATCGGTGAGAGGATCTCGTGGATTGGATCGCAGGATTGGATTGAGGATCGTAACATCGTACTTTCTATTAAAAAAAAGATAAAAATATAAATTAGAATGACACATATTAAAAATAAGGTGAAAAATCACAAAATCTACGATCCTACTTGTGATCCTGTTATAACATTAATCCTACAACGATCTGGATCATTTTCGCAATCTAGGATCGTAGGATTGTATGAATCCTACAATCCGGATCGCGATTTTAATAACCATGGGTAAAATTTATCAATACAAAACCAAAATTATCAAGTACGTACCAATGGCTGTTGAGGTATTGTCTTGGGCAGCCCATGTTGGATCAAGCAAAGCATAACCAACAGCAGAGTCTAGTTCTCCAAGTGACCTCTTCCCATCAGTAAGCCACCAACTCTCTTTTATTAGACGTGATGCCTCCATATAGAGTTGTATGTGAAAATCTGTTGGGAGTTGAGCCAATAAAAGACCGCAAGCTTGGATGAGCAAACAAGATAACTGCTGGCATGTATAGCCACTTCGGGAAACAAAGTTAGAGGTGTTAATTCCTGAGACAGAAGGAGTTGGTCTACTTGCGTTCAAGGAATCAGTGCTTCCTCCTGAAGGGGAAGTTGGTAAAACAGAACCTTGCCCAACACTATTAGGAGCACCATGCAGACCATTGCTAGATTGGATTAGTGTTGGTTGTATGTGCACAACAATTTGAACTAGTGATGATACAATCTGGGATGCAGATACAGGAAGAGAGAGTATTTCTATGACTGCTGTTTCAAGCATCAGCTGAGTATGTGTCCCTGGATCTTGGATTTGATAGAATGCTTTCTGGCCTTCAGAAGCATTTGTTGGTCCAGGCTGAGAAGTCGCAGAATTCTTGTGCGCACGGAGGGAATTACTTGAAGCATCCCCCAGTGAGACAGTTTTTGAGCTATTATTTAAAGGAGGAATAACATTATTCACAATACCTAATAAAAGAGTTGCAAAGTAGTCCAATGGCGGGCAAATGGCAGCATTTGATGAGTTAATATGCTGGGGAAATGACTCAGAAAATGGGATCTGAAACACAACAAGAAGGAACAAATGAGGCAGCAGCAACGATCAAAGGAGAGAGGGGTAGGGGGAGGGGGAAAGAGATTCACCATTACCTTTTTAAGATCCAGTACATTCAGTATTCGGAGAATAAGCTTTCCTGGAAGATGACCATAGAAATATGAAAGTATATCACGAACAAATGTAAAATTTAGGGGGTAATAGTGAAGAAATGTGGAAAACAACTGCAGAACTCTGTCAGCGAAGTCTGTGGCATCATTTTCAATAAGTCTATAGATGATTAAGGGGATGACTGGAAGCAAACGTGCAGTGATATCATCAAAGAATGTGGGATGCCTGTGTAGTGCAAGATGAGAAAAACAAGAGTCAAAACAGTGCAGGCATTCAAATCAAATGAAATTGCACAGTTTACAAAGATAGAGCAAAAAAATAGTCTAGATAGAAAGAAATATATGCATTAATGAAAATAATGGGAAAAAGGGATCTCATGACTACATTTATGAGAAGCCAGAAGAGGAACAGGAATTTATTCAGTCACTTAAAAATGGTTATGTCAATGCTTTCTTGGAGACAATGGCAATTTTACACTCTTTCCCTAAAAATGGTGCTCAGTTTAATAAACTTAAGTTGGTGTCACATACAAGTCCATCACAAAAAATGCTTTCAACCCAACTATATACCAAACAATTTGATTATATGTCCTCAAGGTGCTTTGTACATGGTGGTTGGATATTGACAAGCCATGAAAGTATATTTTAATCTTTGGGATTGGAGGAATAGATATTAAAATCTTCAAACCTATGATCTTAGATATCCATTGGAACATGTGCAAATGGGCAAAAACTTATCAGCTATACACATCCATGATGATGCCCATATGGACTTAGCAGTGATGAGAACTGAAAATATTGCTCATAACGTAAAATCTAATATACTTTACTATGACATAAAATAAATATATAATTTTGATGAACATCTCAGGAGTGGTGAAATTCCAATTTGGTTCAAGGAAGATGCCATCCTTTAATATTTCTGTCCCTTGATTATTAATAGTTAATATCTGAGTTCAAAACTGAATGCCTGAATGGCGAAGTTATACAAAAAAATGAGTACAATTCTAATGGATGTGAAGATGGCCTTCCTTCATGGTGCTCTAGAAGAGAAAATTTACATGAAGCAACCACAAGGTTTGACAACAATGATTACTACAAAAAAGTGAATGGTTTGAATTACATGGCTTGTGTCCATGCCATGAACGCTTTTTTGCATGGGAAAAAGTATCTGCAATTTATTGCAAAATTTGAATCCCCCCAAGGAGTATGACACCTATGTTGATTGGTCTGAGGATTCGGTTGTGATGAGTAGTGGCTCTGGCTTAGTTTGGAACCGATATTGCTACTACCCCGGTAATCTAAAAGAACATTATGCATATTTTGTTCCATACTTTTTGAAAGTTTATTCGTTCATTCCTTCAGCATGTCTTCTCCTCTAAACATCTCCGAGGAGTGTCAAAGTGACAGCATTCTAAAGTTACTATTGTATGGAGAGATATTCATGGAAGTAACAGTTGCTATATGTTGAATATAACCAAAATATGATCTCACAGTCATTGTATTGAAATACGATAAAGAGAGGAAAAAAAAGTTTTGTTTGTGTTTTGTTTGTGTTTTATTTGTTAATTTTCATAGAATATCATGAATGAGTCTCACTCATTAAGTTTTAACTTGCAACTTGAGTGCAGAACCTTCATCTTATCAAACAATATGTTCTAGAGATTATTGCAAGGTATGTTGCAGTTTACAAGATGTCAGTTCTTCCAAGAGAGATGATTTGCAAGATCTTTCTGTTGTTCAACATGATTGAATAATCCAAAGGAAAACCATTGTTTCTTTATTTATTTAGTTTTGTTTAATTACTGTAGGTTGTTGTGAATAAATCTCGCTCATTAACTTACACAGTGCATAACCTTGACCATAACAAACAAATTATGTTCTACAGATTTTTGCAAGCTATGTTACGTTTTATAGGACGTCACCTTTCCTTCCAAGAGAGATGATTTCCAAGAGCCTTTTGCAGTTCAACACGCTTGAACATGCCAGAGGCAAGCCAGTGCTCAGGTGGGCCACGATTCATGAGGTAAAATTTTACTCTCTGTTGAAGCTCTTGCCTCTCAAGTAGATTGATCTGCAAAATTAGATTACTATACCATTTTAAAATCAATAGCAATACAAAGGCAACTCTCTCGAAATATGTAAAGATGGAAACCACAAGTATCCATTGTCTTAGTTTTACTACTAGAGAAATTTTAAATGAGTCTTGAGGAAAAGTATATATCAAAGCAAACTTCTCAGCTATCATATCTGGCCAAATCACATTCCAATTCATTTGAAAAAAATAAGCATTGAAACCATCAGGCCCTAGAGATTTGTCTGGTTTGATGCCATATACGGCAGCCTTTATTTCCTCAACAGTTAATGGTTTCACAAGAAGACCTTGCTGATCATGCTGGAGTTGAGGGAGACCAAAACTATTAAGAACAAGTCACCCTTCCCTTTTTGTGCAAATCCAGATCCCAACAACTGCTTGTACTATATAACGATTTCCTCCTTTAGTAGTTTAGGATCCTCTAATGCATCTCCATTCAAAGCTCTATGCTTAAGATTTTATTCCTCAGCCTATGATTGCACATGTTCTGGTGGAAAACTTGGTATTTTGATCACCCAACCTAAGCCAATTAATCCTAGCCTTTTGTTTTTTAACAGATACTTCTGCTAGGGTGAATTCTGCATCAAGGAATTAGCATCTAAGCTCTTTATCTGAAAATGTAGCTTGAAATTGCTCCAAATTTTGCCTTGCCTCCACCACTCTAGTTGAGATGTTGGAATAATGATCTTTGTTGAGCTGCCTAAGAATAAGTTTAAGCCTTTTGAGCTTGGCTTGGAACTTCACCATAGGTGATCCCTGCTGTGGCTACATCCATGAATCCTCCAAAAGCTTAAAGAACTTTCCATTTTTCAACCAATAGATCTTTAGTCTCAAATAGTTCTCATCTTTCACTGTTCATCCATGCTGATTCCATCACCAGTGCAAACTTCACCCAGATCATTCACAAAATAAAAGTGAAATTGTGGTGGCCTGTTACCCTTCATGGTGGACGCATTCAATTTGGGGGATTGGAGAAAGTGCAAAGTTTTTTTTTTTATCATGGGCATACTTTGAGCAGCTTCTTAAAATTCTGTTGATAATGGCGGTGGTTGATTTGAGGTCCTGAAGGGTTGGAGAAGATGGAAGGATAAGCGACTTCCTTGTCCATGGTGTGAAAAGCACCAGACCAGAGAGAGAGAAGATGTGGGGCTTGGTCCTCGCCTCCTTGAAAGTCACATTGTAGAACATTTTGTCCATTTATATTTATTTTCCCTGATAACTGTTGGAATGTGTCCACATCACCTGGAATTGCCCTGTCTATACTGGTTATAAGGCTCCAGTTTCCCTCTTCTTAATACCTGGATTTTAAGGAGAAGTGTGGGTTGAGCTTTTCAATTTAGTATCAGAGCTTAGTTGGGCCTGTGCTTGGTGTGCCATTTGTCCAAATACTGTATGTTGTAGTCCAGGAGAGTGTGTTGGAATGTGTCCCACATCGCCTGAAATTGCCCCATCTGTGATGCTAGTTATAAGGTTCCAGTTTCACTCTCCTTAAGACTCGGGTTATAAGGAAGAAGTGTGGGTTGGGCTTTTCAATCCAGGTGATGTGAGACACATTTCAACACACCTTCCTGGACCACAACATACAGTAGCCAGACAAACGATACACCAATCACAGGCCCAATCAAGCTCTAATACCAAATTGAAAAGCCCAACCCACACTTCTCCTTAAAATCTAGGTATTAAGGAGAGCGAAACTAGAGCCTTATAACCAGCACAGATGGGACACTTCCAGGTAATGTGGGACTATGATTGGTGTATCGTTTGTCTGGCTACTGTATGTTGTGGTCCAGGAGAAATAAGGGACATGAAGAAATCATCACACTAAAGCCATATGATGACCTTAATTGGAGAACAAAGAAAAATAAAATACTGAAAATATTATACACTACAGTGTTGGTTCATCTAATTTCCCCATTGAATCATTGTTCTCCTATTTTCGATCCATACTCCCGCCAACCAAAATGAATTTTGCACAAGAAACTTTAGCACTAATGTAACACATAAGAAATAAGGGACATGAAGAAATCATCGCGACATCATTAATGAGACACAATCTGTATCAAACTTATCCAACATACAAGTGAATCAACATACTGCAATCATTTGATAGAGATACTAATACATACATAAAAGACAACTCACTTCAGAAGACATAATAAGTAATGCTAAATAAACGTACCACAATACGCAAAGCATGGGGATCATCATCACGGTCAATAAGTGCTAAAAGCAAAATATCCAAGGGAAGCAGCTCATTGGTCCAAACAAAATATGCAAGATTTGTGGAAGCTTTTAATATAAGCTCCTGAAAAATACGACACCGATGATTATTTTGAGAGAGAATAAGGGGAAGAAAAATAAAAAGGAGGGTACAATGCCAAACCTGCAAGGAATGTCCATGTTGTAGCTCCAAATGAATGTGATGAAGAAGGACATCCACCATTTTATATATATTCGCTGTCACTTCTTCAGGAGAAAATTCTCTTAAGACACATCCCTGAATTTCATCACCCACACAGAAAAAGATTAAATAGCAAAGTTTTTACAAGAGAAATATCAAAAACTAAAATGATGGCAAGGAAGGAAAATATTTTCTGGTGAATTAGGGGGAAAAAATGCAGTGTGAATTTACCAGGTTTGCACTGTTAATGTTCTCAGGATGGACATGCATCAGTACCCATGCACCAGCACAAAGATAATCTCGGTGCATTGGAAAACTGTGACTGATGTAAGTCATGGCATAAGTAGGATCAGCTGATGGTGAAAGAAGCTGTGTGCACTGCTTAATCACAGTAGTTTCTGACTGCCAAAATGAAATGACAGTATGTGAATAAGTGAAGTTTTTTTATCATTTAAAAACCTGAATTCAAACTAACAAACATTATGACATAGGACAGCACTAGATTTTGAATAGGTTATTTGATGGCCTAAACAGTGAGTAATTCAGGGTTTTAATAAGTAAATTGAAGGCTAATAGGTAAGGGAAGGGATTAGGGTTGGTTCTGTAAGTTTCTGAAGAATATTGTATATTCAACTTGTATCTCAATTACATAAAGACCTTAGTTTATATAACCCTAACGCCTAAACCAAAAAGGAAATACAGAACCATGCCTAATATATACACAATCATGCATAATATATACACAAACATGCCTAATATATACAATTATATTCTCACATGTTCTGGGGAGATTGGATAAGGTTTTGAATAGGTGTGATCATAACAATTCACTACAAAATTAGTCAAGCAAGAACCCAGTAGCATCCAAAAATTGAAGATGAAGAACAAAGCATGTTTATCACAAATCACAATAATATGAGGAAGTGTAAGAACTCCTTGATTCTATTTTTTCTGCAGCATGAAAATCCATCCAAGAGCAGTCAAACAATAGGGAATACCTAAATTCATAACCTTCAACACATCAATCCTCCCATCATTGAAAGCATAAAATTCTACAAGCTTCAAGAACACAATCAACAGCCTTCTTCAAATTAAATTGCACGAGATATAGAAGATTTCTTTTTTGACTCTGGAATACAGGCATTCGCCTACAATGAGCACATCATTTTTTTTTAATTTTTTTTTTTATTGGTAAGTTAAGAAGACTCAAACTTCAGTCTCTTTATTAGGAGAAGACAGCCTAAGCCGTCAGGGTATTCTGTATGGGGCAAGAAATTTTCCAGATTTTAAGAAAACATTTCAGAAGATCAAAGATTTGACATCCCCTGTAAGAAAGAAAAAATTGGTAAAGATTTTGAAGACTCGTAAAAGGCTAGAAGATGATGTTATGAAGTCATGGTGCCTTTACAAACAAGTGTGATCTTTTTCTCCACACCTCATCTCTATCCCCTTTAGAATAGGGTTTATCATCTTTTATAATTTAAACGTATCAGGATTCAGAGCTTTATTTACTTCAAAATTAATAATCTCTTCTTCAGGCAATGAACAAGACAAGGAGGCTAGTTCATCACCCAACAGAAGAGAGGGAAATACCAAATTCTTCCTTAGCATCTACACCTTCTCTCATCCCTATGAAGTGTTAGCTTTCATCCTTGAATTCCCCATCCACATTTTGCAGATGACTTCAGCAAAATTTTCTTTTTTTTTCTTTTTTTTTTTTAATAAATAGTAACAAAACTTTATTAAAGAAGCATCAAGATGATGCAACAAATACAAAAAACCCCAAAGGGGCAAGAATCACCCGCTAACCAATGACCTCATCCAAAAAATCTAAAAAACCAAATGTGTTTGGATCAATTTTCCTCTCTAACCAACTATACAAAACTACAAGTAAACGACTCTCAAGCCAACTACCAGTATGATAAGTCTCTTCAAATGTACGCCTATTACGCTCTAACTACACTAGCCACATCAAATAGAATGGAACCAAAGACCACACGCACCGCCTTCGACGGCCCACCTAAGCCCCATGCCAACTCCACAACATGTCCACCACCCTCATGGCTGAGCCTAAACAATCCCAAAAAGGGAACAAACAAATCCCCACAAACGGAACGTCATAGGACAGTGCAAGAACAAATCATCCACAGACTCTACATCTTGACAACACATACAACACCGATTTACTAGAATATGACTATGTCGCATCACGTTATCTAGAGTAAGATTTTGGCCCCAGGTCGCCATCCACATAAAGAAAACCACCTTAGATGGGACCTCCGACACCTAAATAACTCTTCCAAGGAAAATCCCGTCTCACCTCCCCCACCATACTCCAATAGAACGACGAAACTGAAAAACAACCCTTAGCTTCCACAACCTTCCACACCAACACATCCTCCCCCACCCCAGTCACACCCAACTCATACAAATATACCCATAACTCCATCAACTGATCAACCTCCCAATCTTGGACCTGTTGTCATAACTAAATATCCCAAACCACCCCATCCCCACCCCCCAAATAAGATGCCACCATCGTCTCCTTATCCACCACAACACTGAAAATCAAAGGAAAGTGATCCTTTAGCAAAACCACACCAAAACACCTATCCTTCCAGAACCGCACCCTTAGCCCAGTACCCACCTGAAACCCCACCCTTTCCCAAAACACCCTACTCCCCAACCAAATCCCCTTCCATAACCCACAACCATGAGAACCAAGCACATCCCTTGACCCTCATCCCCCCCGAGCTAAACCATACTTACCAGCCACCACCTTTCTCCATAAACACTCTGGCTCCGACCATTTCCCTAACAAAACTTGGTTAAAAGTCAACAAACTCCTCACCCCTAGCCCTCCCGTCACTTTCAGTTGGCAAATCCAACCAATAACATATAACAACATAAAACTGACAAATTTAAGAAAATTCATATCAAAGTGAAGCATATTATGAACCTGCTGCCATTTTTGAATTGCCAGTCCTCTTGTATCCATCCGCCCATTCAAGGCATCACGGAGAATAGAAGGGAAGTAGCGTAAAGTCTTTTCTGACCATGTATGTTGACTGATTGACAATATCTGTTCCAACATGTTTGGAAGATAGAGCATCTGATCAGCCTCAGCAATCCCACGTGTCTTAATGATGATGGCAAGGGTTGTTATGGTTATACGATTCAAGGTTTCTGTGAATTCAGTAGGACCCTGAAAAGAAATATACACACTTGAATTTTAATTCCCAGTAGCAATGAAAGAATTTGTAATTTTAAGTCCATATTTCCTACCTTTCCTTCCTTCTTCACAAAAAAAAACTCTCTCAAAGAAAAAATAAGATTCATGCACAAGTTTTCAGCCAATCTAAAAATGCGATGATCTCCACGTTTCCCTTTTAGCGTGGAAATTATTTTCGTTATATCATACATCAAGATCTTGCTTTTGCCTTGGTACCTACAAAGCAAAAAAATGGTAAGTTACAATTTTTCAATGTTGTTACATCAATTTGCATATACTTAACTAGATTTTCAACTTAATGTCAAAGTTCCATGGCAACTGAAAGCCAATGAATTCTAGAGAGAAAGATTGGAATACAAATATTTGATTGCCATGACAGTTCTCGATCTTCTTTTGGTTTCAACATGCTCAAATGGAAACTTTTTCATTCAAAGCCGAGAAGTTTTACCAAATTGACTAGACATTCAATTACCTGTAGAGTGAAAGCAAACGGTAGTTCAGAATTTCAAGCACCAAAAGAGAAGGTCCAGGCTGCTTCAAAATGGCTGGATTCCTCTGTGACAGATGCTGAAAGGAGTTGCAATATTATGGCACTTTTTCATTAGTAAGCAAAAGCATTTCACATAAAAAGCGAGACACGTAACTTCTTGGCCAAGAATAATGTCATCTTACTGAGACTAATAGAAATATAGAAGTGTGATATTGACAAAGCAAGGTGAGTCAAAAATGCCTAATCATAAGAGACACAAATTGGCTGATCCTCTCAAAAATCAAGGGAGAAGCCAAACGCACAAATGGGAAAGACCCATGACTGCAATGCTCTCACTACAGAAATCAAAAAAAATAAATAAAACTGCTAATGATTTTTATTATATTTCTTGAAGGATTATAGTCAGGAACTAACGGAGATAAGAACAACTGCAAAACAATATAAAGGCTGCATAAAAGCAATCTACAGAAATTTGCAATCAATGATCCCTTTAAGTAGTGAGAAGATTGTATTGGCAGATTAAATTTTCTGAAATTCCATCTGGAGATTACGGAATAAAAATATGATTTGTAACCCCTAAGGAACCTAATAAAGATTAGGTTTGATTTGCAAGATGAAGGGTCATCAAGGATAAAAAGACGAAGTAAGAGAGGAAAAGAAAATAGAGAAATGTAGGTTTTCTTGCCCAACTATTTTGTCAACCTATTTATCTAGACCTCAATTTTTGTGTATCCAGGTTTCTTGCCCCAACTCTTATTTAAAATATCTATGCCCTTGTCAAATTTTGTACCATTTTGTGCAATTTACATATGAACTATCAATATTTGTATTCTGTAGTTTTTGAATTTTATTGTGTAACATAAGCATTAATCATTAAAATTCACTAAAAAATATTATATATATAATATATATGTATTGATATTCTAGTAAGTGAAATGATATCCATAACAATAACGCATTATTTTACATCACAAATTAGGTGTCAATGCTTTACATCTAGGATCAATTATTACAAAATTAGGATATAGAAAATAAAGGAGGGATAATCATTTGAGATGGTATGACAAAATGCAATAGAGATCAAACAATGCGCCTGTAAGAATTTAGTTTTGAGAGTGTCAAAAGACAAAGGGGTAGGCTGAGAAGGACATAGATTGAGCTGGTTCCAAAAGAAATGAATAACTTAAACTTGACTGAAGATATGGTTTTTAAAAGAAAAAATTAGAGAAAAATTATACAATAAGTAAACCCCAAATAATTGGGAGTCAGGCATGTTGTGAATTTCATTCCATTGTACATGTCAAAAATCAAACAAGTGTGAGGGACACTAATTTTAGATTTAGCATAGAGCTATAACATATATCAGGAGCCCACTAAGTATGGTACACTATTTTATTCTCTTTCACTTTCTCTTCTCACTCTCTGCCTCTTATCTCTGTTCCTTATTACCTGAGAATCTAACAAGAAATTGGGACTAAGGCTTCTTGAGTTAAGATTTATGTGAATTTCATTTGAAAGTGCACTGAAAGCTTCTGTTTTTGATGTTTATGAGCTTGGGATATTCTGTTTTTTTTAAGGTCAGGGATGACACATAGTTGAGTAACGTGATTTGGAAAACTTGAATTCGTCTGCTTCTCTTATGAGAAATTCTAACCAAGTGTACAACTGTCGACTCTAGTTCTAATAAAATTGAATTAATTTAATCTGTCTAGTTGTCTAAAATTGGTCAACTGAGAGCTTTTACAAATCGGGCATTTCCTCAACCCGGCAAAGGTTTGAAGGTCAGTTCTTGACCTGATTAGCTCAAACAATCTGGAGAGAAAAGAATGAAATTTCTATCTGGGGATATTCAAATTTTCAAAAACCATAATTGAGGCTGATGGACAGATTGGATGCTTCAACACCTAATCGAGCTAGATCCTTCAAAATATTAGAGTAGTAATCATCATGTTTGGTTCCACTTTTTGAACTCAATTTTTAGGAAAATTTAGAATTTTTGTTTGGTGAACTCCCAAAATACAAAAAAAAAAATTCCAAAAATCCAATTTTCCAAACCATTTGGGAAAAAGAAATTATGTCTTCTTTATGTCAAGGGATTAGATGTTTTCTGGAGGAACTTTTGAATTTAATTTTAACAACCAAACAATGGTCACTTTTTCAAAAAAAACTTTTCAAAAACAAAATTTGAAAATTAACTCAAAAAATGAAACCAAACATGGTGAATATTTTTTGAGTATAGTAAGTTCATTTAATCTACCTTAAAAAAAAAAATGGAATAAGGTAGGGAGGAAGAAGAAAGAAGCAAAACAGTTACAATCTCTAAAAGAAGTGAGGCTGCAACTTCTCAGTTCGATATGGAGTAAAACCAACCTTTCACAGGCTTTAAAACCTTAATAACAACAAATCTGAACCTTTTAATCACAATTATCTCAACCATTAATTAAAATCAGAATTTGCAAAGAAAAAACAGAAGGCCTAGAAATAGAAGTTGTCAACTGAAATGAAATTAATTCACTAAATTAATCTGAATAATAAATTCAAACACTTCTTAATTCTGAATTTTGTTAAGTCATCAATTGTCTCAAAAGCTTAAGTTGTTAGAAAGTAGGCCTAAACAATGCATATCAAGCTATCTAACACTCACGTCATGTGCAATCCATCATACATGTGGAGAGGCATACTGGCTGAAATGAACAACATATGACAGCAAACAAAAATAGATTTCGAGACCTAAAACCCAGGGCCTCTTGGAACCAAAGCACTAATACCATGTTATGTCATTGATTGTTCCAAAAGCTTAAATTGTCAGGAAACGGGTAACAATGTGTATCAAGCCATCAAACAAACAAAGTATAATAGACACAAATCAATTAAACAGTTAGAAGATACTCTTAGGAACAATTTCACATGGACCAAAATGGCTTTTTGATTGGAGTCCAAAGCCTTAACTTTAGGCTCCACAGAGAGTCAGTCTTCTCTGAAAAATAAATAAAAAAAATCCAGAGCATGATGTTATCTCTCAGCAACTACTCGGTTTGATGCAGGAAGGAGAACTCCAAATCATTACAGATTCACTTTATGCAAAGTAGCAAGTGGAACTGTGGAAGCACAGTCAAATAACAATGGAGACCAACAGTCAGATCATGATAAAAAACTACACAGTCATCCTTCAAACTGCAGGAAAGCAGGCATCCCTTGTACAGGTTACAGATTAATGGGTCCTGCATCTAGTTTTTCCAGTCTCCAGAGAAACCATATTGGCTTCCCAAACACTAATTAATCAATCAATGCAATGAAAATAACTCAAGAAATATTACAAGTCTACAGAAGTATTAAAACAGAAAGAAGGGGGGAGAAAATTACACTTAAATGTGATCGAAACATTGAATGAGGTGCAAGGAGCAGCAATCTAACATATGTCTCAACCATAGCAATGTTAGGCACAACCTGCATTAAAATTAAACATCTATATATATAAATCCAGAACTTTGGTAACTATCTAAATGGACTCACATTAGATAAAGTGCAAATCAAACAACCCTTGCACCAAATCATTTGTTGAAAAAGTAACTAGTACAACGAACACAATTAATTGTATGAAAAAGGGAGTAACTAAATGAAGAATATTATATGAAAAGCATAACTAATGCAATTTAATCAAATCAATGAAATCATAATTGATGCAATACTCACGATTCATTCGTACTTACTATAGAAACTCACAATATGCTTTATGAAGTATTTTCCGATACCATCGTTAGTCTCCAAACTTAATAAAAATATATAGTTAACAATTTATTAAACCAATGATTGACCATTAAAACAACTTTAGCCTAATGATGCAAATAACGTGCCTAGGAAGTTCCGAAAATATTACAAGAGACGGGGCAAATCAGATTCCAAGGCCAATATAGCTATTTGGCAAGATTCTACTTTAGAACTTGCCTAGGGTATTGGCTAATTTATGCTTGATGCTATTTTCGATGTATTTCTTTTAGTTTTTACAGTAAAGTGGACTGACATAATGGTATATTGTGTATATGATGACAAGCTTGATTTAGGTCAGATTTGATACGGTCCACGTCATACCTTTTTGCTTAGGGTCCAAGAATTATTTGAGCACCAATTTGCTTGATCCCCAAGTGCTCTTGACCACCAAATTGCGCCCCAATAAATATTGGAACTTGGAAGTGATGAATGAATGAACATTACCTCAGTCTATTTTCTTTTGTGTGATGCATCATCCCTTAGGTGTGACTGCCTAGGCCTCCCCCCCTCTTCTTCTTTTCCTACATTCACTTAATTTCTCCCAGAACTTTCTCTGCAATAAAAAATGTTGCTTTTTGCTTTTCGTTTTCTTATTTTTTTTTTTTTTTTTTTTTTCAATTTTCAACTCATATGAGCTCTATACTACACAATAAACCCCTTGTCTACCCTATCCAATTCATACACAATCCACTTCCCAGCCAAACCTAATCTTAAACTCTTCAAAATAGCCCAAACCAGCAATAGAGCTTGCACCCTTTCTAAGTAGCAGAATATCCAATGAAAACACATCTCATGGCCTAGGGATCTAGATGTCGAAGCGAATGTTTAGAGACATGAACAAAACACACACAACCAAAAAAAAATGGTGAAAAGGAAGAAATGGAAGAATTATTATGAAGAAGCTCAAGAGGAGTCTTCAACTGAAGAATACTGGATGCATATGATTAATAAGATAGGAAAAAGTAAGAAATGTCTCACTCCAAAAGGATTCAGGGATATTCATGGTAAACAAGAGAAATCGAGCTAACTCAAGAAGATAATGATTCTTACGTTCAGTGACTCTATTTTGTTCAGAAACTAGTTCAACATTACGTCAATTACACCAGTGGCGTCGGTGTTTGGGCTGCCCTTCCTTTGGTGTTTTAGAGAAGCTATTTCCTAACTCAGTTAAACATTGCCATAGGAACAGTTTTGTCTGGGATGCATGTGAATTTGCAAAACATAAATGCTTTGTTTATCCACATATACAATCTACAGATTTATATAGAAATAAATATAATATAAGTTCCTATCACCAGATACTAAGTCAACCACAAGCAAGATAATAAACTAGAAGATATCTAGCACCTGTCCCAAAAACATAGATTCTTCCATCTGATAAGCCAGTTTCAGACACAAGTTGATTGAAAAGCCAGATAACAACGAAATTGGCAATGGGCTAACTTCCCGCATCACCATTAGCCTCTCAGTTGACTGTAAGTTTGATCCAGGTAACAACTCTTGAACTCCAGCAGAGGTCAACCAATTCATCACTGTTTCACAAGCAGGCTGTGCCATTGTGTAAGACACAACCCAGAACATACCAATTGATCTGTCATCTAGGTTCATGTAATCCATCATGCGATCCCCTTAAATAGAAACAAAAAAGTTAAAAGGAGTTAATGAAGAATCATATAGAGGCATGACACTGAATTAATAAACAATTACCAAAATAATGCTTCAGAGCCCAATGCAAAAGATGATATCCCAAATATGGAATATTAAATCCTGCTCTTTGAAGTAAAAGGCTAAAACAAATAAAGATTAAATGAATTAAAGTTATAGCATATGATAGTTTTATAGTTTAAGAAAATAAAAGTACAGTAAAATCTGATGAGGCAAAATCATGCCAAACGAAGTCGGGGCATGGTTGGAGCAAATCCATCTATAACTTGCCCCTACATCCATCACACAAAGTTGGAATAAAACTTGCGTTCTTAAGCAATGTTGGTCTATAGGCTATCATCAAATTATGAAAACAAGTGAAGAGTTTTTTTTCCATAGGGATGGCAATTTCACCCTTCAGTTAAGAACCCGCCCCTTCTAGGACAAGCTTCCAAAGGTATTAATTGGATTAGAGCCAAGTAACAGGAATAGGATTACAACCCAAACTCGGTTTGGGGTGGGGTTGGGAGTAGGGAGCCCCTGCCCCAATCCAAGTATACATAACCAAAATCACTTAACAACCACTCTACCATCATGGAAAAACAAGTACCCCTTACGTATGTGCCTACAAACTAAAGCAAAACATTAGCATCAAAGCATATTAAAAATGCATCAAAACCTATCAAAAACACTATGAAACACACAAGAACCATAAGTTGTTTCAACACTCATCAGGAATCCCTAACAAAAGTTGTCTTTGTTTCTTATTTTGTTATTAGAAAAAAAAAAAAAAATGTAAACGAAGGAAATATTTCCCTATTAATTGAACATATAAGAATGCTAAAATGGAGAAGGGGATAGGGGAGCTTCTATTTGTAAAACACAAAAATCTCAGTTCACACCATTTTGTTGTTCAAATATCAACTTTCGAATAAAAATTAATTGTTCATATATCAACTTTTGAATGAAAACCATGTTCAGTAGTCAACATCCAACCAAGTGATTTTTGTTCAAAAGTTAATATCCAAACAGTAATAATGGTGTGAACTAAGATAAAGTGTGGTGTGCAAATAAAGGCTCCCAGAGGAGAGACCAAGAGAAGAGAAAAGGATATGATTGAGCTACTTATTCTCTTTCATTATTATTACAAGGACCTTATTCTTCTTCCTCTTCCGTATTGATTTTAGAATGTGGTGTTTCTTTTTCTTTTCTCTTACAAAGGCAAACCAGACCCCAACTCAACACTTTAAACCATCAGTTTGTTATGCTCTAATATTTATTGACCTTTGTTGAACCTCATTCTTAAACCATACGAGAAAGACCCTTTTAATCTAGTTTCCAAAAAGACATTCCTACACCTTGCAATCTCATGCAGTTCAGATCTAATTTGATGCGGGAACTACTATCATAAGCCCAAGGGGCTGTAATGGACCCTAGAAGGGTAGTGGAGAGAATATTAGCTAAAATATATATTTTTAATTCAACAAAGATTTCAATACATCAGCTACACACCAACTTATATAGACTTAATTTTAAGATAGGTACATTGCATGTTTACCACCATCACTAACATATTTGGAAAACTACACAATTTTTACTTTCATTTTTCAAATAGGACTAACATTTTGGGACATCCCAAAATGAAAAGATGGACTAAGAAAATGGGACAATGGAGTACAAAATAGAAGGCACAATAGCAAAACTGCCCCAAAATAAGATTAAATATTAATCTTCCCAAAACTAAAAAAAATATAAAAGACACCTTATACATGAAATTTAAATCATAACTGGACGCTTTAGTCGTGCCTGAATTTAGGTCTGCCACCCAACCACGGATACAACTATGTTAGGACCCAAGACACTTGACCTTAACATCTCGCATAGGGACTACATAGCCAATCAAAATGGCCACTTGTCTTGAACTACTACACATTACTTTGATGATCTAAAGATTCATAGACATGAAAATCAATTGGCTCAAGACTCTCTTAATCACACCTTCCTTCAAAGATGCTAACCAAAAGGAATAGCTATATTCTAGAGACAATTTTTTTATTTTTTTTTATTGGCAAAAGTTAGTTGTTAGATTGGCACCTATAGAAGTTAGCCTCCCCACCTTTGCAAAGCAGCAAGTGCTTGCCTCCTAATTCAATTCCCCCTTAGGGAGAGTTGAACCCATGACCTCTTCCTTGGGACTAAGCCCACTAGTCGTGCCTCAATTTCGCTACATACAACTTACAAGTAATCAATCATTTCATGATTGATAAGTTCAGTTTCATCTGATTGTATGTCTTTTAAGTCACAAAATTTATCATCTAGCACAAGTTTGAGATTTCCAATTCTCACCTTGTGATCATAACTACATTTGGTAGTAATTAAGTAACCATTCTCCGAGTATTCATGTATTTCGGATGTAGATTCCAATCAACTTCTTGCAGAAGAGAAGAATCTCTACCCAAACATGTCTAGGGATGGCAATCCAACCTGCCCCACCTCATCCTCGTCTCCACCTCGATTGGAGCAGATTTCTGTTAATTTATTTGCATTAGGGATGAGTTTGGGAAAAAATATCACGAATCAAATCGGGGATGAGATGGGGGCAAGGTTGGGGTAAAGGCCCTTGTCCCTAACCCTACCCCATTCACTTTTTTCTCTTCATTCCTGTAATATTAGGTGTAAAATGAAATGTTACAAAGAAGGCTTGAATACAAGACCTAAAGGTTAGAGCTTCTATAATGACTAGGGAAAACCTCTTCTGTTGTTAAAATTTACATGGAACTCAAAAATGAGCTCTCCAATGACAAGCTAAAAGCCTCGCCAGATTTTAGCATTGCTAAATTTGTGCCAAATTTGGCACAAGGATTAGTAATAGCTAAAGTTTAACAAGACTTCTTCTCTCATTCTTTCTCATAATCGGGCCCACAAATGAGATTTTGATTTATTTTTTGTGAAGAAAATAAAAGAAATATCATTTGCACCATTGGAGTAACATTGCTAAAAAAATAGCATTTTGACACTATTCATTGTGAAAATTTGACTTTGCTAACCATTTTAGCAATGCAACATTGGAGATGCTCTTAGGCTTCAACCAATCGAACCACTAAGGATAAAAATGTACAACATATGTGAATATAAGGATAATAGTGTCATTTAACATTAATGCACAAAATATTAAGGATAAAAATGTAATTCTATCACCTCCGTCAATTTTTTTTTAGCGTACTAGTAGTGGAGGGGAGGTTAGAGTAATTTCATCAAACTAGTGGGCCATACTAAATTTTCATCAAGACTCAGGAGAGGTTAGTCTAATTTGCTACAAAAAGGAAAGACCGATCATAAAAAATTTAACAAATGCATACCTTTGCTTACTTGTCTCCACCATTCATCTATTTGCTTTCCTTTCTGAAGTTGCTCATTGTTCAAATATTCTCTAGTTGATGTGTTCAATGACCAAATACGTAAGTTTTGACAACTGCTTATAAAATCAAGCAGGATACTTTGGGGATTATTAGGATCAGAGCTTCTATCTTCTTTATGAAATGAAAGAATCTTTCGGGTTGTTTCAACCTACCAGAAGAAGATAAATTTCTAAGTTAAAGTACATTAAGTGATTGGCTCAAGTGTAATAAATCATAGGCATTTGTACACCAATCATTCTACATATAAAATCTAATAATGAATAAAATAGTGAATAAACATCCTCTATGCACAAGAACTTGGGAATAAATACATCATATTATATGTAACTAAAGCTAAATTTTTGTTGACAAAGTTTGAGAAAATGCCATGCCTTTCTAAAGAGATTAAAACCATGCCATGTGTCTTTCTTAAACAAATTAAAACAAAGTTATGTGTACCATTTTTAACATATCTCATAAAACCTGTAAAACCCATGTGTACTTTTACCTATATTCACAAGTCCATAAAATCCAAAATTATTTCTTTTGTCTTTCCATTCCTCTTCTACTTTGTCTATTTGCTTTAGTGCTCATACATTTCGTTTGTTTTTTTTTTCTTTTCCAGTCTTCCCTTTTTCTCTTATCCTCCTCTTCCTATTCCTATTTACTCTTTCCACTCTTCTTCAAGACATACTCCAAATCAAAACTTCTTTTTTGTGATCATTGTTTTTTTCCTCTCACTTATATGTCTGGATCCTGTACTATCATCAACTTGGTTGTTGTAGCTAACCTTATGAGAGAGAGCTAAGCTCCACTTTTGGCTTAAGAAAGGTAGTAATAGAAACAAGATATTTCATTAGTTAGACCGAATTAGATGATAAATATTCTCAATTGTTACTGCTTTTTTTTTATTTCCATAAATTCATAAAACATGGGTTTTTAAATTAATTAAATTATGTTAACAACTAATCTCTTTTGATTTTATAATTTATGAATGGGTTTATCTATCAAAAAAATAATTTATGAATGGGTGTATTAATATTATTTTGTACATAGTTTAAATTTCTAAAGAAATTGGTTCTTATTATTCAAGTTCCAAATATTTTCCTATTTGTTCTCTTTTTGGTATACGCTCTTTATAGTTTTTGATTCATTGAATTCTTGTGGTGGATGATGATCTCATTTACTTGAGCATTAGAAAATTTACTATTTAAATAACAGTATCAATATTCGTTCCCTTTCTATTTTTTTTTCTTTTTAATCATTTTATGTTATACAATTTTAAGCACTTTAGATGCACCTTTTGTGAGTCTGTATTTAAATAGTAAATTTCTTGAGTCTGTATATAGCGGTTGAATAGTAGCAAATTTAAGCACATTAGATGCACCTTTCTTGAGTCTGTATTTAAAGCATTCATCACCAGCTCAACTCGTATAATTTGCGCGAGCAGCCAAGTCACATGATTTGTTCTAAGAATATTTTGATCACCTTCTGCAAAGCGTAAAACTAGCTTGTCCACAAAATCAACAAAATCAATGCACCCATTCTTCATTAGAAAATAGAATATGTCTGAAAAGACAAGCCACTCTTGCCAGCAATTTATCTCTGGAATAAGTCAGTAAGAGCAAAACACAAAAATCTTTAGAAAGTAATATATGTAAACAACAAAAGAAAGAAAAACTCTTGCAGCGTATCACATAATAACCAATATGAACAAGGTTACAAACAAATATCACAAGAGGATTCAGCTTGGAAATGAACAAAACACATGCAACAAGGATCAGTACATGTTGTTTACCAGATAAAAGGTATGGAGCTGTAAAAGACCGAGAAATCAATGAGCAAAACAAAAACCTCCATTCGAGGAAATGAAGCATAAATAACCAAACCACAGGCAACCACCTCCATTATCTCTACAAGAACTGCAAACCTGGCACATTATGGTGCCATAAATGACCATTTAATTAAGTTTAGCTAATTTTGCTGTCAGGTAAAACCATAACTCATGCTCTGCACCCACCCCTTGAATATATGCTTCAACAGGAATCACACAAAGGTAGATTAGAAACCTCTGGTAAAATCCCTGCCTGTAATCCAGCAGATAAACAACAGATTGGGTACTTCAACAGGAATCACACAAAGTTAGATTAGGAACCTCTGGTAAAATGCCTGCTTGTAATCCAGCAGATAAACAACAGATTGGGGCTGGAAAGAGAAAACCGAATGAGTCAGGTTCAGGGTGGAATTGGAATAGTGTACAGACCAGCTATTACTTCCAGATGGGAACTCATCAAATGTACCATTATCAAGGCCCACTTTCGGCATAGCTTTTCGGTAAGTGGGATAACCTTGCTTTATTTGCTGGTCATCATTCCTCTCATTCAGGTTAACCCATAATCAAAACCTTCCATATTTTAAAGTTTCTTTAGAACAATGATGGAATCAAAATGCAGTCTGAACTCACACAAGAGAAATAGAGAAGAAACCCTTCCCTGGATAGGGCTAAACCTAGGTTAGAGAGAGAACCAGAGCACTTTGCTCTAATCAGCATGTATATTCTTCAATTAAAACTAATTACAATTGAGATTTCATCACCTATTTATAGACTAAGATTATTACCAACCGCAACTTAATCCAACCCAACTAATTGGACACTAAATAGACAAACTCAGGACACTTGAGCATAAGACTCATTTAGTTTTAAAAGATGTTTATTTTACTACATCAAACAAGTTCTCTGAATGATCTATGACACTTTAGCACATAAGACAGCTCTCTGAGTAGCCCGTTTTACAGCATCACACTTTCATCTCCATGTATGAAATACTGTACCATTTTGTATCAACAAGATATTTGTGAAGTCTAAACCGTTAAGTCCTAATAGAATATATAATCATCACATGCATGTGTTGCATCATAAAATACCAGCAAGAAGCAAAATTGAATGAGTAAAAGAATATCAAGGAATAATTAAATAAACACTAATATTTAATACATTTTGGATCAAAGAGAAACAAGTAACATATTAGATGCAAGAATATTGCCTGAATTTGTCAACTTCAATAGTTCAACAATTCTATCAATTGTTGCCTCGCAAATCATTTCAGAAGTAAAAACAGCACCAGGAGTAGGGCCTTGAGAATGAGGCCTATAACAAGGAGCCACAAGAAGCACACGCTTCCACCAGTCAGTTGAGGGAGTAGTACGCAGAGCATGCCTTATACATCGCAAAGCTCTTTCCCAGTCCAAATTTCCCCTCTGAATTGAAGCTGCAAGATCCTATAACAACAAAAAGAGACTTCTGACCAATTCCTTTCAGATGCTTATTCCAAATCCAATATACAAATGACTAATATATTGTGGTTTTTATATGTCCTAACCTAACAATAAGAAATTGCATATATTTTCTTATTTAGCATCTCTAGCTTATAAATTACCACATGCATATTAAGGCCCCGTTTGGGAACCTTCCATTTTAGCCAAAAAGTTACTCAATTAGCCAAAAAGCCAACAACTCATGCCAAAAAGTCAAAGATTATTTTTTCCCTCTGCTTTTTGCACATCTTTTCGTAAAAAGTCAAAAAGTCATCCCAAACATACTAGTTTTTTTCGCTCATATTTTAGCCAAATAGTCAAAAAGTTACTAAAAATTAGCCTGTTCCCAAACGAGGCCTAAAATTTTGGGGAACTATGAAGACTAAAAAAATGAATTAGAGCTTTAAAGCACCACAGAAGCCCAATATAGTTTCTGCACGACATAAGATCAGTTTTAAGCAACGGGAGAAAAGAAAAGAAAAGAAAGACAAAAGAGAACAGAAGAAAAAACCAAAACAAAACAGCATGGTTTAGATCAGAATTCAAGTAATCCACAGATGATTAGCCACTAAACATCAAAATTTTATCTACTATAGTTACAAGTAAAAACTTGCTCAGAAGAGCTGAAGAGCCCAATTGTAGTTTTTTTAAGTACTCTTGATCCCATTCAGGTAAGTCATTATTGTGGTTCAAAATTCAAATATAAAGGACTCTTCTATTTATTTTAGAAAGGGTGCATCTAAGAGAAAAAGGGTGCAAAAGTTTTAGTTACAAACCATTGTGGTTATGTTACAAACCATTAGGGGTGTGGTGGACCATAGTACTATCTCCCTCTTTCACTCATTAGTATGAGATAATTTTACACAGATGAATTATGTCATGTTACTTATTTCCATTTTTGTAATGGTGATCATTGAAGTTCAATTTCCTAGAACACATTAGAGCGTGCTCATTATTTATTAGCTTATCTTTGATAGTGATTTGTTAATTTAATAATAATTTAAGGGATTCAAACTTATCCTGACACATCCGGTTGGACTTGCCAATGCCTTGCTTTTGGCCCCCCCAATAATGGAATCCTGGCTCAGCCCCTAGATGTTGGCAATGGCCATATGCAATCATCACAATGGATTGGTTGAGGATCACTCAGTACTGAAACAGCTAGTCAAGGAACAGGTGGAGAATTAACAAATACATCATTGAGAACAAAACCCTTCTAAGAAAAGAAAAATATACCCTTGAAGAAGGTGACATCAGCACTAACAAATTAACTAGGAGACTGGATTTCAATATTTGTATCCTTTTTTGTGTTCAAAAGTAGCCTATAAAGATACACTTAACAACGCAAGGAGACAACTTATCATCAAGACCTGAAGTTTAGCACCTGGGCAAAACAACCACAACCGAAAATACATGGAGGTACTTCAAATAATGGAAGCTGTGCGAACAAGACAAAGTGAGAGCTTTGACCATGAAGAACTGAAGGCCACATTTAATTTTTGACTTATTTAGCGTCAGACCAAAATTCTTTAGGAACATGCATATAAAGCATTTGAGTTATAGCAGCTTCAACCAAATGACGATTCTTATGCTGCACTACATTTTCCTGAGGAGTAGTAGAAATATAGGCATCCTTTTTGTATTGCATCAAAACTTCACCAAAAGGCAGGAACCTAGGACCTCTCACCATTATTGCAACCACTTAACCAATGGAGCTATGCCAGTTGGTTATTGTGAATACGGTGAGTAGTAATGAAAATTATCTCTAGAGTATAACATGTTTGGAGTACTGGGTGTTTCTAGAATTCTCTTTAAGCAGCCCTTTCCAACAAATTTAAAGGCCAACCTTGAGTTTAACTGTGAATGTTGAATTAGTGTTTGAACGTTCTGGCCAACGATAGAATGAAACCAACTTTCATTGTTGGCTTTGGGAGCCTAGGTCCTCTGTACATTGGAGGCATATTCACATATCACAAATGGCATTCTATCTTTCTCCAAACAAGTGGAAACAATATTTACAGTTAAAAGGGGGATTCCAGCTCGTTTTCAAAGCCTTCAGGAAAATTTTTGGCATTCCAACTTGTCTGATGAAGGTCGGTTTCTAGTCTGTTGGGGCTAGAGTAAGGTCCTACCCTTTGGATCTTAGCACCACACCAACCCAGTGCATGAGTCTTTAATTTGTAGTCCCTAGAGACTTGATGTAGGAGAAGATTTTAAGAATTTCTATATTTTTAGTTCTAATATTTTTGATATATTAGTTGATTAGAATTCTTGTAATTTAGTATAAATATTTTAGAATTAGGTTTCTTAATTTAGATTTATTTTATTTTACTAATTTCTTAGGTTTCTTGTTTTCCAAGAATTAGATTAGTTTATTATTTCCTAATTTGAGTTTTCTTCGTGTCCAAGAATACTTGGTCCCTAAGGTTTACATTATTATAAATATCTATGTAAGCCTCATGACAAAGATAACTTTTATTCCACTTTTAATTCAATATAATTCAGTTTCTTAAGAATTCTTTCTTTTCCTTGTGGATTCAAGGTTCTATTTTCTTGTGGACTCAAGAGTCTTTTTCATCTACTAGAATGATATTTAGTCCCCCGTGTATTCCGCTGTGTCAAGTGGTATCAAAGCAACGTTTTGCCTAGTTCGATGCCATTCATCAGAGGAGGAAGCACAAACCTATTGACGATGTTGGTAGAGTAGAAGCCATATGGGATGTGATTGAGGAACATCGGCTAGAGGTGCACGAACTTTTGCACTAAATGATTTGCACTAAATGATTTGCACTAAATCATCATAATGAAATTTGTAATCAACTTGCCGAATTGGGACTAATTGTCAACCAAAGGCAACCAACAACTGACAACATTTGCACTAAATGATTTGCCATAGGTCAACCTATGAGCTTACTCTTTGTTTTAGAAATTGCATATTTTAATGGTTCAAGTAAGTTTCAAAAAGAAGATTTTCTTGATTGGTTGCTTGATTTTGAAATTTTATTTGAATACATGAAGATTTCTCATGAAAAGAAGGTTATATTTGCATCCTACAAACTTGATAAAATTGCACTGAAGTGGTGGAATGGATTACAAGATTATCAAGTTCGTGAAGGTAAGGACAAAAGTAATTCATGGTTAATAATAAAAAAGTTTTTAGCAAGAAAATTTACTTTCATGATCATGAAGATATATTGTCATATACAAATCAAGATACTTCAATGGAGTTGATAAATGTTTGCAATGAAATTGTAGTTGCAAGAGAAAATATTTCACACCCTTGTTTGTGGTAAGAGTACTTGCAAAACTAACGAAGAAGATTTAAATACTCGAGAAGAAGTTCTACAAGGAAATCTTGACAAAATTGAAGAAGAAATTTCAGCCATATATCATGAAGAAAGTCAAAACAAATAAGAGATTGTTGAAAAGATTGAAAATTATGCCTTCAAATTGGAAATTACTTCAGAGGAGGAAACTACTCAAGTTGATAATTTTGCTATAAAAAGTGAACATTCATCAAAGGAAGAGATTTTAAAGATCCAAGATCCAATAAAATTACACAATTCAGTTCATTCACCGATGGATCTTACTAAAGGAAGAATTGATTTTATTGGCGTTGAAAGTTTTGATGTGATTTTCAACATACATTTGATTGATCTTGTCAATCAATTGAAGATTAGCTTGAAGAAAATTTTGCACAATCAATTCATGGAGATTTCTTGGGGATTGCAACTGAAGAAACTGAGGTATTCAAAATATCTCTTCATTTAGCATGGAAGATGGCAGATCTCTAGTCGGAACTCGAGGACGAGTTCTTTCAAAGAAGAAGAGTCTGATGTAGGACAAGATTTTAAGAATTTCCATATTTTTAGTTTTAATATTTTTTATATATTAATTTATTAGAATTCTTGTAATTTAGTATAAATATTTTAGAATTAGGTTTCTTAATTTAGATTTATTTTATTTTCCTAAATTCTTACGTTTCTTGTCTTCCAAAAATTAGATTAGATTAGTTTATTATTTTCTAATTAGAGTTTTCTTGGTGTCCAAGAATACTTGGTGTAATATCTATTTAAGCCTCATGGCAAAGATAACTTTTATTCAACTTTTAATTCAATATAATTTAGGTTGTGTTTGGTGTAGAGTTGTAATCATGATTCCACACATTGGTTTGAGTGTTGTGTTTAGATATAATTTTCAAAAATTGATTCCATATTTTGGTTTGAAAACTCTTTCCAGAATATGGGTTTGAATTTTGAAATTTGGTCTACCCAGTCGTTCGCCCGGACATCCATGACCGGAACAGTGGTTTTTTTCAATTCTTTTTTTTTTAGCAGCGGTTATGTGAAAAAAAAAAATTTAAATAAATTTTTTCAATAGTTATTTTTTAGAATTGAATTTTAAAAAGAGTTTAGTTATGAGTTTTGAATAGAATTTTTAATAGAGTTTTGAGTTGTGTTTGGTTATGAGTTATAAATTTTTAAATTAAGTTTTGAAAACCCTTTTTAAAACTCAAAATCAAATTACTTTTTTTAATTCAATATTTATTTAAAAAATTCAACACTCAATTCAAAATTCAATTCAAAACTCTTTTCAAAATTCATAACCAAACAAATTTTCTCTTTTCAAATCATAATTTCAAAACTCACAAACTCAAAATACAACTCTATTTTCAAATTATAATTCTAAAACTTTACCAAACACTACCTTAGTTTCTTGAGAATTTTTTCTCTTCCTAATAGATTCAAGGTTCTATTTTCTCGTGGGTTCAAGAGTCCTTTTTGTCTACTAAAACGATATCTAATCCCTGTGTATTCCACTACGTCAAGACTAAGGTCAACTAGATACCTACATCAAAATTAGACAGCCACAATTTAGATGAAGGGAGGGGCCTCTATTTTAGAGTATTTTCGATTCATTTTACCCTCCTTTGAGAACCAAAAGGATTTTGTTAGGCTTTTAGGGATCTCAAAGCTTCCCTCTTTATCTCTTTAGCATGTTTATGTTTAGTTTTTCTTTGAGAAGGATATCTCATCCTTCTTTACATTCTCTTGTCCTTCAGCTTACTAATAAAGTTTTGTAATTTTTTATCATTACAAGGATGAAAAACATCACATGATCAAGTTTTCATAATAATTAGCAGAAAAGTAATTACCTCTCCATGCAAAGGTTCGCCAAGAACACTTGGGTATGTGATTGGTGAATATCTCATGTTAGTCACCGCTTCACCTGATACATTAGTAGTGGCCTGAGATAAAAGCCGCTGAGTTCCAAATGTAGGGCAGTGAAGGTGTTGATCTAACATCTGCATGTGCATAGCCATCATATCTCGCCGCCTATGGATCTCCAAAATAAGTGTAAACAATGCTTCATCATCTGGTATGTTTTCTATAAACTGCAAGCCACTTCGCAACAGTTCATAAAAAGGCACACGGCATTTATCATCCTCAACCAACAGCCAGATCACATCTAAACAAATGTGTAACCATTCAATTAGGGCTTTATCAGGTTTCCAGCATTTTGCACCATCAAATTCATCACTCCCCAGTTGTCTTTGGTCCCAATTAACCAGCCAATTCAGCACATGGTGGAAAATGTCAGCATGAGTTACAGGCTTCAAATTGGATTGCAGACCAGTTAAAATAATCTTACAGCATAACTGACGTAGACTACTTATAGCATTATCTCTTATTAATAAATTGGTCCTGCTTGTGGACTGTTGTCCTGTACAAGCGACATCAGATGATTTCATTGGTGATAAAGCTGCACCAGATGATGGTTCAGTAGCTGACTGAGCAGGGGATCCAATACCATGAACTGAAGGCATAGGAGATGCAGGATTTGAAGACTGAAAAGTAGAGGAAATGGGTATTGTGTTTGAAGATGGCAACATCCCAGACTGTGATAAACTTGTAGAAGAGACAGCAGGCACAGACTGACTCCCTTGAGCAATTGAAATCTCTGCAGAGGAAACAGAAGAAAGAAGGGAAGGCAAGAATGTATCCCAGCGTATGTAACCTATACTGCACAAACTGCGTAAAGCAAATAGAAGGAATTCTGCCCGGGGTGCATGACCACTACACTGCATAACCAGAGAAATAAGAATCGACTCAGTAACAGCACGCAATTGCTCCTGGTCCTGAAAAATGTCACAGCATCGATAGAACACTTTGTAGGATTAATTAAGTGATACAGAAGAGAATTGAAAAACCAACCGAACCAAATGTGTGATGTAGTAAAGTTAATTCAAATTTGAAACTTACAGGAAACTGGCTCTGAAGCTGCTCAAAATCTAAAAGGAATTGTTCATTTCGGGGGAGCTCTCTGTTAAGAGCGGTTACACGCTTCTGTGTTTTGTTCCTGAACATTATGCACATCATTATTGTCCAAAATATAAACATCTGAAGACTGTTGAACATAGGACATAGAAAAGCAACTATATTGTTCTATGACCTAAGCATTAAAAATAAATCACAAGATTACAATAGAAGCCCACTACAAGATTTATACACCTCCACAAAGGAAACTCTTCCATAATAACAAGCGTAGATTTATATCAATACTACTGATCAGGTTAATGACATTCAAATGTCTGTCCATCATCACCTGTTAGGCAGTTAATTTTGTATCGATTTAACTTCCGCTCATCATAGTTACAGAGTTTCCTAGTTATTAATTATGGCATCAGTATTGCATGAAGTTTAACAGCTTTATCAAGCACCTGAACTGCTGATCATGGAGGAACAGATTCTAAAAAATAAATTATGCAAAGGTGATCCTCCCATGTACCACCCAACAAGACAGCATCTTCAAATCCTAAGAAGCATGGACACTTTTATGGAGGAGGTGTGCCGTGGGTGTCGGACACAACACGCTACGGACACTCCTAAAAGCATGTGCGACACTTCTTCAACTTGTCTTAATTAAAATTTTAAATTCATAATGTAGAACACTTCTCAAACACTTCAGCAAACTTTTAAACTCTCCAAACACGACCTATGTGATAAATCTTCATAATAACCACGTTCTACATTCTTCAAATGCAATATTTTTGAAACATTTATAAAATAAATACATCGTGTATATTTCAATGTTCTACAATTGTTTTATTATATTCTTTAGAATGCAATTGTTACGTGAATGATATCTTGATGTTTAAGTTATGAAATATATAGAGCTTTTCAATTAAAATTAGTATTATGTTGCTTTTTTCATTATTTTTGAACAACCTATTCATATATTTGCCATATAATAAATTTTATTGTGTCCCAAGCGTATACTGTCCAACATTTTTTGAAAATCACCATGTCAGCATGTCCATGTCGTGTCGTGCCATGTCACATGTCTATGTCATGCTACTTAGTTCAAATCTATACTATTATAGTAATGCAGTTTTCCTTCAACCAACTATAGGCCACCTTATTCCCAATCCTCAATGCAAAAAGTCACCATTTCTCTCTCCTACATTGTGTTCTCTCAATAGGCTCCTTTTCCCATCTTAATTTTGTAATAGAATTTAACCACAAATTAAATCTAAAGTGTCAATTTGCATAAAACCAAAATCCTTAAACCATGGTTATCTTATATTCTGAATTCCAGAAGTTTAGTTATTATGAGATTTCTTTCCCTGCTACACGGGTATCTAAAATTTGTATTTTTAACTCTGAAATTTTTTCATATTTTTGTTAGAGTTATCACGCGATCCATGCCTATTTTATCTCCCTCCTCCCCGCCCCAAAAAAAAACTCAAAAAAAAAAAAGCATACATACATGCTTCTTTCATCCATAGTTGTCAAATCGGGATTCGTATTGTGAATCGAAATGGCCTCGTACCAAATCGCAAATCGAATCGAATCGAATTGTGAATCGTAAAGTTTCGGTCACTTTTTTTAAATTATTTAAAAACATATATGTACACATTTACATGCTAAATATATATTATGAATATGAAATAATTAGACTTAAATCAATGAAAATGTTATTTTAATAAGTTAACAAACGTTTTTATGTAAGATCACCATTTTACCTTTTTTCTTTTTTAGATATTTCTTATCAATCATTCTTAATAAAGATAATAACCAAATAGACAAACTATCAATTTCCAAAGTAAGAACAACTAACAATGATATTAGTATTTGAACAATAAGCATACATACTTTTCTAAATAACAATAAGCAAATAATAAGAAAGAATTATTTAGAATCTTTTATTTTAAAGCCTAAAACATTTAAAAGGTATAACTGACCTCACACATGTAATATTCCACTATATTCAATTTAATAAAATAACAAAAGATAATTCATAGTATAACTTTAATCTTAAACATCTTTAGAAGATATATTATGTTTTTTAGGGGGGAAAAATGAGAAGAAAGGTTAAAAATATATTGGGTCTGACTGAATCTGATTGGATCTTATTAAAAACTCTATAATCACTAAAATAACAATAAATCATGTATATATGTTTGTTATCTTGGTATTAAATGCTATTAGAAGTTATATTATGTCATTTTCACCAAAAAAATGGAGAAAAAAAATGTCAAAAATATGCCGGACACAATAATTTTAAAAATTGCATGAATCGTAAAAAGTGAATTGAATCGTGAATCAATTGTGAATCGTGCGATTCACTAGAAATTCACTTCCAAAATAAATTCACCTATAGATTTGTATCGATTTCGCAAAAATTGTGAATCGAATCGCGAATTATAAGATTCTGATAACAGAGATTTCATCCCCCTTCCTTCTTGAAGCCCACTCTCTCTCTCCATCAAAACCTCAATCCTAATTCCAAAACCCCAATTGGCAACACCAACACCCAGAAGAATGTCATTTTACCCAACTAATAAAAAGACAACTAAGGAGGGTGATTATAGGGGGAATTTGGCCTACCAACTTCAGGCCTCATTCAACTCAATCACTCATTCCGAACCAGGCTTCATTCAACTCAATCACTTGTAAGGGGGATTATAGAGGAACTTGGCCTACCAACTGCAGGCTCGAGTAAGGGAAAACGTATGGAATCAGCTCAACCAACTCTTCTTTCTTCAACGAGCTCTAGACAACTCTCCTTTCCTCTTTCTTTTCCTAAGAGCTCGCTTTCATAGTCTAGCATAACATAAGATTTTACTATAGCATAGTATACTTGTGCATAGTTTAGCATAGTAGTATACCTTATCTTATAGAGTCTTGATACTTGATGTGTAATATTAACTTTCATCCACTATAGAAATAGACATACCAACAGAGCAAAAAGTTACTGCAGATAGGGCATATGAATGTTTGCAATTTTTAAAGCATAACGCCCAAGAATCTCTCACATTTTCTCCCTCTCCCTCTAGCAAACCCATTGGCACAGTGGGAGCTGGGTCAGATCAAGCTAGCCCCCTTTGAGATTAATTTTTGGGTCTACCACAACCCCAACCTAGAGGTCATTCACTGTAGTTGAATGCTATGAAGCATGGCTACCCTAAAAAAATTGTCGTACTCGTACCAGGTACTGTTACTCATACCAAGAAGACTGCATGCGTACCAAGTACCCGAAATATGTACCAGGTACTTTCCATACATTCTTTGACAGTTGGGTACTCTGTGAGTACTTTATGAGTACAGGATAGGTACATCAGGGTACACCAAGTTATGGGACATTGGTGGAGATACGTTTAATTTATTAGAGAGTTCAAATTAATTTGCAATTGCAAATCCTTTACTTGATGTACCAGAGATTAAAGATACATTATTCAATGATGAAATTGATGAAAGTGAAAATTGAAATTTCATGTGTTTCAAATTTGCTTAGCTTACTTTTGGAATGAAACTTTATTTTATAATTTCTCCTATTTAACGGCATTAAAATAGTTTATAGACTTTATTTTGATATTAGTATTGTTGAATTATGATTTCTCTTTCGGTTTTGTAAGTTCTCATTTTAGTTTTCATATTGAACTTTGATTTGTAAATTAAATATCAAACTATAAATTATAAAAAAGTCTTTTCCTCAAAAAATTATTGACGTATCCTAGCCGTATACTTATCCTATTTTTTTAGGGTTTTTCGTATCGATGTACCCGTATTATACTCGTACCCACACTTGTGCTTCATAGGCATCAAGGCTTACCAAATAAATTTCCCCCATTTTGGCTTGTTCTCATATACAATTTTATTATTTACATTCAATAATACTACATACTCAAAATTTTTACTCAACATTTTATTGAGAAACATCAATGTATAGTCTAAATTCATTTTGTGCATGGACTTCGCAAAACACTAATTGAATTTCCACCACTTTCAAATTTTAGACAACTTTCTTTGGTGGCATTAACCAAATATATTTATATGATTTTGAAGACTATCTTTAGTTAATTGTCTTTATTTATTAGTACATGTAAACATCCAAACCTAGGGCTTTTCTTGTATTGAGTTTAGAACTCATCTTTTGTATCCAAGTGTTGGCTTGGAAAGATGTAAGCCTGTTAGGGCATTTTATTCGATGTTACATATAAAGCTCTTTTATTTAGTAATACTCGATGAATGAATTAATAATTGTTTTCTTTAAATAATGCATGTCAATGATATATATATATAATGGGTTGATTTTGAGGGCGTGACAGTTTTTTTTTTGTAGTTTTTTCAAATAATTATTAATTTTTCAATTTGATCTTTACGAACAATAAAACTCGAGTTTTTTATTTATTATTAATTTTAATATAAATCATGAATTACTAAAATAGAGAAGTCGTTTGGATCTCTCAAATAAGTCATCTTTTTTTTTGAATTTTTTGTCTTGCAATTTTTTCTTTTTTAAATTATGGTAGGAAAACTTTTTGGTCGACCTTGTGCGGAGGAATTCTAAAAAGTAAAATATATTATATTTAAATTTTTTTAAAAAAATGAAAAATTCAAACAAGTTTAAAGTTGACTACTTTTTTTTCTTATTTTTGCCTTTTCTAAACTTTTTTAGAATTTTTAAAAAAATATGTTTGTTTCTAGTTTTTGAAAACACTTTTAAAAAATTCTACTTTCTTGTTTTTTCATATTTTTTTA